ATTTGGAGATAAAAGTCTCATGGACTTTCTTGCCCAGGCTGGCTTCGAATTGCAATCCTGAGATCTCAGCCTCCTGAGTAGCTAGGATTACAGGCATGAATCACCAGTATCCAGTCCAGCCAACTCTAAGTGCTTTTTGGAAAGAGATAGATAGCAAATCTTTTCAGCTTTGTGGGCCAAGTGGTCTCTGTCACCACAGTCCAAAAAAGCGGTCACACACTATGGCAGTTAGATAAGTGTAGCCCTGTTCCAGCAATGCTGTAGGTGTGAAGCTGACTTTTTTTTTTTTTTTTTTTGCCAATCCTGTGGCTTTGAACTCAGGGCCTGTGTACTGTCCCTGAGCTTCTTTTGCTCAAAGCTAGCACTCTACCACTTGAGCAACAGCGCCACTTCCAGCTTTTTCTGTATATGTAGTACTGAGGAATTGAACCCAGGGCTTCATGCATGCTAGGCAAGCACTCTACCACTAAGCCATATTCTCAGCCCTGAAGGCTGACCTTTGAATGATCAATTCTACATAGCATGTGGTATTTCCTTTGGCCCTTTAAACATAGACACTTAGGGCTAAAATACTAGTGGCTCACGCTTGTTAACTGACTCAGGAGGCTGAGATGTGAGGATTGTAATTAGAAGCCAGCCTGGACAGACAAATCCAAGAGACTCTCATCTCCAAATAACTAGCAAAAAGCTGAAGTTGCAGTGTGGCTCAAATGGAAGAGCACCAGCCATGAGTAGAAAAAGCCAAGTGAGAGTGTGAGGTCCTGAGTTCAAGCCCCAGTAACTATACATACTAAAAAGAGGGGTGTGTGTATGTGTGCACATACATGTGCGAGTGCATATTTACATACATATAATTTGGGAGAAGATAAATTATGTATCATCTTGTATCGATTACAAACTTTATTAATTTGTTTAGTGGGAGTTGAACTGGGCACTCTCTCATCCTCCTCTCCCTCAACGCTAGTGAGCAGAGCTCCAGTTCTGGCTTAAAAATATTGTTATAGGGCTGGGAAGGTGGCTCAGTGGTAGAGCACTTGCCTTTGCATGCTTGAGGCGGCCCTGGGTTCAATTCCTCAGCACCACATAAGCATAAAAAAAAAAGCTGGAAGTGGTGCTGTGGCTCAAGTGGGTAGAGTGCTAGCCTTGAGCTGAAGAGCTGAGGGACAGCGCCTAGGCCCAGAGTTCAGGCCCCACGACCAGACCCCCCAAAAAGAAATTGTTATAAAGGTGAGGTACAGAGGGGTAACCGTTACATAAGTCACATAAAGCGTACATTTCTTTTTTGGGTGTCACCCCTTCCTTTACTCTCTCCGTTTTTCCCTCCTGTTCCCACCTATAAGTTGTATAGTTCATTTTCAACATAGTGTCCAGTGAGTACCACTGCTGCATTTGTTCACAGTTACCCCACCAAAGACAGATGAATGAACAAACAAGACAAAAAGAAGACAAAAAGTAACAAAACAAAAACCAGTGCCAACTTTTTTTGGCTGGTTCATGGAGAGATAAGAATCTCCTGGGCCTTGCCTCTCACACTGGCTTCCAACAGGAACCCTCGGATGTCAGCTTCTTGATGGAAAGCTTTCACACACCGCCTCTCTTTCTTTTCTTCTTCTGTGCAGGAGAAGATGGCAAGGTTGAATCAAAAGGCTCCAAAGGTGACCCAGGATCCCGAGGTCCCCCTGGGAAGCACGGGCCAAAGGGATCCATCGGCCCCACGGGAGAGCCTGGGCTCCAAGGAGAGACTGGCCCTCAGGGGCAGAAGGGAGACAAAGGCGACGTAGGTCCCACTGGTCCGGAAGGGCTAATAGGCAACACTGGACCCTTGGGTCCCAAGGGCTTACCTGGTCCTGTAGGCCCCATGGGCAAGCCAGGTCCCAAGGGAGAGGCTGGACCCATGGGACCCCAGGGTGAGCCAGGAGTCCGGGGAATACGAGGATGGAAAGGAGATCGGGGGGAAAAGGGGAAAATTGGGGAGACTCCCGCCTTGCCCAAGAGTGCTTTTACCGTGGGTCTCACAGTCCTAAGTAAGTTTCCTTCTCCTGATGTTCCTATTGTGTTTGATAAGATCCTATACAATGAATTTAACCATTATAACGTCGCCACGGGGAAATTCACCTGCCACGTGGCCGGAGTGTATTATTTCACGTACCACGTCACTGTGTTCTCCAGGAACGTGCAGGTCTCTTTGGTGAGAAATGGGGTAAAAGTCCTGCACACGAAGGATGGTTACATGAGCTCTGAGGATCAGGCCTCGGGCGGGCTGGTGTTAGAGCTGAAGCTAGGGGACGAGGTGTGGATGCAGGTGACCGGAGGAGAGAGGTTCAATGGCTTGTTTGCCGATGAGGACGACGATACCACGTTCACTGGATTTTTGTTGTTCAGTAGCTCATGATGGAGACTTGGCCCATCTACTACTTCTCCTGGCAGAATTAGGTTGGTGATGGAAGCGATCGGATGATTTCATGAAATGAATTCCTCAAATTAGTGATTGCCATCCTCTGGCCAAAAAAAAAAAAAAAAAGGCAAAAACAGGACAAGTGACACCTAAAATTGGGTCTATTGACTTTTACAATCTTTAACTGAATAGAATTATTAATAAACAGTTGCTTTGCATGTATGTGTGTGTGTTTGCTGGTACTAGGATTTAAGTTCAGAGCCTCTTACTTAGTTTCTTCGCTCAAGGCTGGCGCTCTACCACTTAAGCCATACCTCCATTTCCAGATTTTTGCTTGAGGCAACTGGAGACAAATGCCCTCTTTTGTGTTATCAGGTATCAAGAAAGCCCTCCCCCGTGACTGATGCTGTGCTCTTGGATTGCCCAATCTTGGGAACTGTAGAAACTACATTTCTTAAGCAAGTGTGGCAATACACAGATTGAATCCCAACGTTTGGGAGACTGAGGCAGAAAGATCAATGAGTTCAGGGCCAGCCTGGGTTACATAGCAAGTTTGAGGCCATCCGAGGTATGTAGTGAGACTTTGTGTCAGAAATCAAAAAGAAGATATAGTAAATGGCCAATCTCAGGTAGTCATAGCAATGGAAAATGGATGAACAACACCAGTTTTGACATTGTCTGGGCTCCTAAATCCAGCTGTCCCTAAAGGCAGACTTTCTGAATTGTACTGTTGTTTCTACCACTTCTAGCTAAGACAGCCTAAGTAGTCTACCGTCCTAGAGGATGAATTTTCACAATAGTGGAAAAATCCAAACACTAAGAGTCAAGTTACACTTACTGCCATGCTAGCCACGTCAAAGGAATTTGACTTGAGTTGAAATTTTATCTGAATACTACAAAAAAATGGAATTGGGCCTCTATGTTCAGCCTTTTGTGTCTCATGTTTCTTATTGGGCAGAGACGGAACTGAATAATATGATTTTCTTCGACAGTTTTGCAATAATTATACTTGCTTAAGTCAATGAAACACTTTAATATGCTGAGATTTTTTTGGTGGTGGGGTGGGGATGGGCCATACTGGGGCTTGAACTCAGGACCTGAGTGCTGCTGTCCCTTAGCTTTTTCTACTACTTAAACCACAGCTCTATTTCCTGACTTTTGGTGGTTAACTAAAGAGTCTCATGGACTCTCCTGCCCAGGCTGGTTTCAAACCACAATCCTCAGATCTCAGCCTCCTGAGTAGCCAAGAGCTTCCTTAAGCTAAGGCCTTTTGACAGAAGATGGCACTGTGATTAGGAAAGCAATGAGGGTTATTTTGAGGAAAATATTATGTATGCACATGTAAAATACCCTGGTGAAACATCTTGATATAATTAATACACACAAAAAAAGATTGACAGGGAAATAAAATAGTCTGTTGTAGGAGGGCCAGCAGGAGGGAGTAGGATTAATGAAGAGGGTGAGGAGGAATATTGTCAGAGAGGGCTATCTGCATATATGAAAATGGAACAGTGACATCTGTTGAATTTTTTTTTTTGTCAGCTTGAACTCAGGGCCTGGGCACTGTCTCTGAGCTCTTTCGCTCAAGGCTAGCACTCTACTACTTTGAGCCACAGTACCACTTCTGATTTTTAGGTGATCCATTAGAGGTAAGGATCGTCTCACAGACTTTTCGGCCTGGGCTGGCTTTGAACTGTGATCCTCAGCTTTCAGCCTCCTGAGTAGCTAGGCTTGTAGGCATGCGCTCCAGCCCCCAGCTTGAAATTGTTTTAAGAAGGGGAAATGGGACAGAGGAGAATGATAGAGGGGGTGAGGTTGATCAGGATGCCTTGTTTACATGTGTGAAATGTCGCAATGAAATATATAGGAATAAAGACTTACCTACCATAGTGGACACCAGAGGGCACTCATGAGAGCACAGAGCTTAGCCAGGCACCAGGAGTTCATTTCTGTTTCTTCCTCCTCTATTTTTTCTTCCCCTCCCTTCTTCCCCATGGTCCTCCCTCCCCTCCCCTTCCCTTCCTCCCTTCTCTCCATAATCTCCCCATGTCGCTCAGACTGGGGAACTCAGACCTCGCGGCTTCAACCACAGGAGGTCTGGCATCCCCACGCTCTCCCCTCTCCTAGAAGGTTCTCAAGACAAAATCCGGTGAACAGTCCCCTTTTCACTTCTTTTCATTCCTGTATTGCTGATGGAAGTTTTGGGAAAGCCTCCCTGTATTAAAGTGTATGTTACAGGTGGTTACAATTTTACAAATCAAACCAGATGATGAATCCACAGTGTCAAACACAGCCATCTCCGGATGCTCCCCTGGGCTCTGTCCCGGAGAAGGGGAACTGGAATTTGCGCTGCTGCTTTCTTTTTTTTTTTATGGTTCCAATTGCATGATCAAGGTAACGAGTGCATTTCTTATCAAGCATTTTGCACTCATTCTTCCGCGAGAATTCCAAGGTCTTTTCCCGCGTTCCATTCCCGTGGCTGGGAAGCCCGAGTCCCGTCAGTTCCTCATTCCGGCCACGAGGCGGCGCGAGAGCGTAGCGGCTCCCGAGGAAGCGACGGGACGACGCTCTTGCCGTCCAGACGTCTGTGCACGTATGCACGTCGTCCCGACCCGGAAGTGCGGCCTTACGCTGCGCGGCGTGGGCCGCTGCCTTGGAAACGCGCGGCGTGAGCTCGCAGGGGCTGGGCTGCTGCGTGCGGGGTTCCCCCCGGGACGCCATGCTGTGCGCCCGGAGGCTGAGCGGCCTGGGGGCCGGCGTAGCGGCTGCGTGGCCCTGCCGAGCCGGCCAGGGCCGCCTGGGACCCGGGAGCCCGACTCGCAGGGTCAGCACCAGCTGGTCCCCGGTGGGCGCCGCCTTCAATGTCAGGCCGCAGGGCCGCCGCCTGGACCTGTTCGGCGAGCGCCGGGTGAGAGGCGAGGGCTCCGAGGTCGGAGGTCGGGGGTCACGCCGGCCTCGCGACCCCACAGAGTCATGGGGGTGTGGCAGGCGCAGGGCTGTGGGTGCGTCCGTGGGCCTTCCTCCCGCTGTAAGGCGCCGGGCGCGGGTGCGCACGCCTGTAATCCCAGCCAGGGTGTGGGCTCGAAGCCACACTCTGATCTCCCAGTTAACCACCAATTTAAAAAAGTGCTAGAGTCCTAGCCGTGATCGGAAAAGCACAGGAGCAGTGATAGCAGTCCTGAGTGCAAGCCCCAGGACTGGCACATTATTATTATTATTTGGTCGGTCATGGGGCCTGAACTCTGGGCGTGGGCACTGTCCCTCAGCTCTTCAGCTCAAGGCTAGCACTCTACCACTTGACCACAGCGCCACTTCTGGCTTTTTTTTCTGCTTATGTGGTGTTGAGGAATCGAACCCAGGGCCTCATGCACGCAAAGCAAGCACTCTACCACTGAGCCACCTTCCCAGCCCAAGATGAGGGGGTGGGAAGGGAGTCTGGGATGTACCACTCAGTGAAACCACGACATCCACATGAGCTTGCTGCGGTGGTAGTGAATCCAGCCTGGAGTCCCTTGTCCCTACTCTCAGCCGAGCCCAGTGGAAGTTCTCTTTGGCATGCATTAGAGGAGTCAACGTTCCCTACCAGGCTGTCTTCAATTTTTTTTTTTTTTCTTGCAAGGACACACGTGTCTTCCACGGAAAAGCGAATCGCTTTTTATTGTTGTTGTTAGCTTTTTTGTTCAAGGCTTGCGCTCTTCCACCTGAGGCACAACTCTACTTCCATTTGTGTGTGTGTGGTTAATTGGAGATAAGAGTCTCATAGACTTTCCTGACCCAGCTGGCTTTGAGCAGGGATCCTCAGATCTCAAGACTCCAGAATAGCTAGGATTATAGATCTGGACCTGTAATCCATCACCTCCATCACTGTATTATTTCACTGCTCTGGGCTTGTTAAAGTTTTCTTTTTTAAAGTAATTGTACAACAGTTCAACAAGTCCAGATTATGAGTTCAATGCATCTTGACCGGTGTCACCCTTTGCATCATTCTTCCTTTTGGCTTCCAATCTGAACTTCTTTTTACAGAAAATAAACCCCATAACAAAACCACTCAAACAGGGAGCCAATATTTCCTGTAGTGCTTTGCAGTTAGTTGATTTCTTACCTTGGGAAGACATTAGGCTGCCATGCTTGGTTCTGTTCTTTTCTTTTTTGCTAGTCCTGGGGCTTGAACTCAGGACTTGGATACTGGCCCTGAGCTGCTTTTGTTCAAGGCTAACTCTCTACCACTTGGGCCAGAGAGCCATTTCCAGCTTTTTCTGTTTACGTGGTACTAAGGAATTGAACCCAGGGCTTCATGCATGCTAGGCAAGCACTCTACCACTAAGCCACATTCCCAGCCCTGAAGAAATTAATTCTTGAATAAGTTTTAGGCTAATTTATGTGGAGTGATTGCTGAGAGTATGAAATGATTTATATGATCAGTAGGATAATTGTGACATGTCACTGAAACCCAGACTTCTGTTTGGAAAATATTATAGAAGAAGTTCTTTAGGCTAAGTGTGGTGGTTCACTCCTGTAATCTCAGCTACTTGGGAGGTGGAGATAGAAAGATTATTGCTCAAGATTAGCCCAGATCAAGTTTGCAAAACTCTCTGAAAACTTAAAGGGCAGTCAGGAATTATGACTCAAGTAGTCAAGCACTTGCCTACCAAGCACAGGGTCCTGAATTGAAGCCCCAGTACTGAAAAAGAAAAAAAGTGTTTTCAGTTAATATAAAAATGTCTTGCTGGGTGCCATTGGCTCATACCTGTAATCCTAGCTACTTAGGAGGCTGAGATCTAAAGATTGTGATTCAAAGCCAGCCCAGGCTGGAAAATCCCTAAGACTCTTATCTCCAGTTAATGACCAGAAAAATCTGGAAGTGGTGCTGTGGCTCAAGTGGTAGAGCGCTAGCCTTGAGCTGAAAAGCTGAGGGACAGCGCCCAGACCCAGAGTTCAAGGCTCACAACCGACAAAACAAGCAAAAATGTCAGACTTTTAGTTCTAAACTGGACGTTTTCTGGATTTCAGGGTCTTTTTGGAGTTCCTGAGCTCAGTGCCCCCGAGGGATTTCGTATCGCACAGGAAGAAGCGCTGAGAAAGGCAGATTCCCTGGTGGAGCGTGCCTGTTCCACACCCCCTGGGCCACAGACTGTGGTTATCTTTGATGAGCTCTCTGATGCCTTGTGCCGGGTGGCAGATTTGGTAAGTTGCTTTGTCTGAGACTCAATAGTGTTCTTTCAAGCCAAGCACTGGTGGCTCATTCTGTAATCGTACCTACTGAGAAGGCTGAGATCTGAGGATCCTAGTTAGAAGCCACCTGGGGCAGGAATGTTCTTGAGGCTCTTATCTCCAGTTAACCACCAAAAAGCCAAGGAATAGAGCTGTGCCTCAAGTGTAGAGCACTATCCTTGAGCACAAAAGTTCAGGAACAGTGTTCAGGCCCTGAGTTCAGGCCCCAGGATTGGCACCAAAAAACTCCAAACCAAAATATCCTCTGCTTTCAAGTGGTTAGCACTGAAGGGAAGTTGTTTATTTTTTTATTTGTTGTTTAAGATTAATATTAGACCATATGGTTAGAAATAGCTGTAAATATTTGTGACTTGTTGGTTATAGGTTTTCATTTAAAGTATGCTGGTAGCTGTGGGTTAAATGCACAGGAAAAGGTAATATTGAGAATTTGAACTTTAGTATGTATACACAATGAAATATACTTGTAATATGTAAGAATTGATGCTCTTTTTTTTTTTTTTTTTTGCTGGCCCTGGGGCTTGAACTCAGGGCCTGGGCACTGTTCTTTGTGCTCAACGGCTAGAGCACTTGAGCCACAGTGCCACTTTTGGCTTTTTTTGTTTTTTGTTTTTTTAGTAGATTATTGGCGATAAGAGGCTCATGGGGATTTTACTGCTTGGGCTGGCTTCAAACCATAATCCTTAGATCTCAGCCTCCTGAGTAGCTAGGATTACAGGCGTGAGTCACTGGTGCCTGGTTTTTTTGGAGATAAAGTCTCCTGTGTAGTCCAGGCTTGCCTGGAATATGAGATCCTTCTATCTCAGCCTCCTGGCTGCTAGGATTACAGGTGTGCGCCAACCATGCCTGACTCCTAAATTATTATGATGATGGTATTTTTTGCATAAGAAGAGTGGAAACCAGTCCTCCCACTTTTTTCTTTAATTGCATGTAAGTCCTTGTATAAAAGGGTTTCAGTTGAACGCGTTAGTTTGTGAGTATAATGTATGTTGAGCAGCACTCTTAATCATTCTCCCCCTTCTCTCCCCAACCCACCCAGCCGCCCATGTGTAAACTGAGTATCGTGACTGTTTTATCTGCCCTTCCTCTCCCTTCCTTTGTCTGTTCTCCTCCCTCTGCCTCTTTCCCAACATAGTTTAGCTTCCTGGTATTCATTTTTGGTATAAGCCTTTTCAGGAAAGACTTTTTAAAAAAAAAAATCAAATTGTATTAAAGACTTTTAAAATTACATTTAAAGATGAAATAGAAGGGCTGGGAATGTGGCTTAGTGGTAGAGTGCTTGCCTTGCATGCATGAAGCCCTGGGTTCGATTCCTCAGCACCACGTACACAGAAAAAGCCAGAAGTGACGCTATTGCTCAAGTGGTAGAGCGTTAGCCTGGAGCAAAAGCAGCTCAGGGACAGTGCCCAGGCCCTGAGTTCAAGCTCCAGGACTGGCAAAAAAAAAAGATGAAAGAGAAATGTACCTAGCTAGGTATCTTCATCAACTAAGATGTCCATCGCTGAGAGAACGCCCTGGGAGAGCCACGTGTCATTCCTGAGGCTGGTGGAGGCGGCTCATGAGTAGTCCTGCCTATATGATATTGAAGTACCATCACCTGTCTTCACATTCATTCCATGTAGAGGGTCTGCTTGGGCCAAGCTCCAACCTGGGTGCTGGAAACCACCGTCCCTTCCTGACTGCGGGCTGTGCATGGGCTGACTCATTCCGAGTGTTCTCCTCAGGCAGCCGCTCAACGCTTCTCTTTCCCTAGAGTTCTGGAGTTCTGGCTTTCCTGATCACCTCCCATCCTCAAACTCCTATCCTCTTTTCATCCAAAAAGTTTTCATGTTTTCTCTGAAAAGTTCCTTCTTCACCTATATATAAGTCGAGTACATTTCAGGTGATTATGTATTCACTATAATATTTTTAAAGAAGACTGATTGAATATCTCAGGTTTACAGGTTTTCCCAGGAATGATGTTTTGGACCTCAGTTTTCCCAGGTCTTTGTGCTAGCCATCTATTGTGTGCTTAGGACACGTTGTCTTCCGTGATTGGAAGCTGTGGGGGTTGTCCCTTCTTCATCTGCTTGTGTCACTGAAATCTGAAAAGACGTTTCACCTATGCAGAGATTGATTTCGGCAGTCAGAATCACAGAAGTAACGTTAGTTGCTGTCTCAGTTTCTCTTGATTTTTTCTTCACTAAAAGAATTTAGGTTCCCTGTCCTATATATTATCCCATTTGTGGGTTTAAAAAATTTTTAATGTTTGTTATGTATAATTATATCTCGTGTAAAAAACTAAAGCTGGAGGATTGGGATTGGGGGGGAGGGGGGAGGCTGGGAAGGGAGGTGAAGGGTAAACAAAGGAGGAGGCTGCAATGCTTGGTAAGAAATGTACGCATTATCCTGCCCATGTAACTGTAACTCCTCTGTACAGTATGTTCACAAATAAAATTAAATTAAATTAAAAAAAAAGATAATCATCATAATACAATCAATGAAAAACCTCTTAAAAAAAAAAAAAAACTAAAGCTGGGCATGGCATTCTACACTTGTATTTCCTGACTTGGGAGGCTGAGGCAGGAGGGTCATGAGTTCGTGACCAGTGTGGCTCCACAGGGAGACCTGTGTCAAAAATCCCTAACTAACTGATTCAGTAAACAAACTGAAATGAAATGAAAGAAAAAGAAGGTTATAAAAACTTCTATATTGTATGTGTTCAACTATGTTTAAAGTATTTATAAAGAACTTATTTTATGTCTTCTTCTCTGGGTAAGATAATTCAAGGAGCTTTTTTTTTAAGAATTAAAAAAAATCTTACCTGCTTAAATAATCAATATACCATTGTAAGTCAATAGTTTTACAAACTTATTTCCCAGAAAATGGTCATTTTGTTTTTTCTTTTTTAAGCATGTTTTTTATTTAATAGAAATGTTTTCCTCAAATTGGTTTTTATTTGCTATATGTAGGCTTTTTTTTTTAATACACTGAAGTAGGTGTACTTTTTGGTTTTGAGTTTTAATATTGGTGCTAATCTTTGCGCCATATCCATTCATAATTTATAAACTATTGTAAACCTTATGTTGCTCAGTTTTCTGATGCCTTAGTACTAACAGATTGTTCCAGTTGACATAATTAATTTATCAAAACATGGATTTAGGTGGTTTTTCTTTGCAAGCTATTTGATTTAAAAAAAACCATTACTTTGTAGTGAACTTTTTGTTCTTTCTTAAGACAGACTCTCACTGTGTAGCCTAGGGTTTCCTTAAATTCCTGATCCTCCGGCATTGGCCTTCCCAGTGCTGGGATTACAGGTGTATGCCACCAATCCCAGTTTCCTTGTGGTGATTTTGTTTTGTGTCATAGCCATGTCTTTTTCTGAAGACTTAAGAAGGTAGTAGTTTCTCTGAATTTCCCTGTTCACCTGAAATCTAGTTTTACATGATTTCATTTTCTAAAGAAGTTTCATTCTAGTGATCTCAGTGGCAGTGTGGTTGTGTACTATGTTAGATGGGGGACAAGCAATTCTTATTTCCCTAAAAAGGTTGTAGGAAGAATGCGCCTTTGTTTTCCACATAAAGCCTTGAATGTGGTTAAATTATTTTTTTAAATAATACTTGCTCAGGTGTGTGTGTGTGTGTGTGTGGCGGGCGGGGGGGAGGGGGGAGGCTTGAATTTAGCACCTGAGTGCTGTCCCTGAACACTCTGCCACTTGAATCATGGCTTCACTTCTGGTTTTTCTGGTGGTTAATTGGAGATAAGAGTCTGAGGGACTTTCCTGTTTGGGCTAGGTTTGAACTACCATCTGGCTAGTTCTTTTTACATTTTTCTTTTTTTAAAGTGTCTGGTATACTTTCTGGGAAAACCATATTGCAGTTTGAGTTTAAAAATACTTGAAACTAGGATTTAGATGCTCATTAGAACCAGAGACTTAGGAAGGATTTTCTTGTTCATTTGAATGAGGAAAAAGTTCTCTAAAAATGAAGTTCATTGAAACACTTTCTTTGGAATGAAACAGACTTGGTTCCCAGGACTCCGGAGTTAAAATAATAAATATCTGAGAAGAAGCTGCTTTTCTTTGCCAGCTGAAGAAGGCTTCCATCATGGAAATGCACAGCTTACATTGTTAAGACGCAGGTTTTTGTTTCCTCCCTTGGATCTTGCAAACAAGCATCCATCAAATCCCCTCCTGTTGTTTTTTGTTTTTTTGTTTGTTTTTTTTTTTAGGCTGATTTTGTGAAAATTGCACACCCCGAGCCAGCATTCAGAGAGGCCGCTGAAGAAGCCTGTCGCAGTATTGGCACCGTGGTGGAAAAGTGTGTGATCTTTGCCACGCAGTGAGAGGGCAGTGGTGTGCGTGCACCCTGGTCAGGGTGGGGAGCCATGGGAGGGCGGGGGCTCACTTCAGCACTGGACTCCGCTCAGTGCCCTTCCAGCAGCAGAGAGGGCATTCTGTCATTGTTGTTTGCATTGTTTCTTCTCAGAGCCCTTGAGGAACATGACACCATGTCATGTGTATAAGCCTGGCAGAGGCCTGGGCTCTCCTGGCCTGGATTTAAGATGGGAAAATAGGGCCCAGGCTACATTGTGTGACTGTGAGTTGGCAGAGGGGGTGGCTTTAGGGAAGACACAGCACTCTCAGGACGTCCAGCTGCCAGCTTTCCCCATTGAACCTGGTACAGTCCATGTGACTTTTCTGAATTTTGTAGCAGGGTCAATGGATTGGTGGTGAAGTGCTGGGGCTGTTGCTTCAGTCCAATGCAGGTGAAACACTCACAGCCCTGCCTGGAGCCCTGCTTCTGGCTTCTTCCCAGTGCTGAGCCATAGATAATCTCTCCATCTTGAAAAATCCAGATGCTCTCAGGGCTGCCTGTACAACTGATTCGGTTTTTGGCCCTTGGAGGTGTGGCTCTAACAAGCCCAAGACCCTGAGATCAAAGTAGAGGGCCACCAAAATACAAAAAGAGTGCCTGATTTCTTCTTGTTGTAGAGATGAAAGTTACAGATTTGGTATAGTTTAGAACTAATGGCAAATGTAGATTTTAACATCTCAGGATTTTCTAACATAAAGCCTAGCATGGGAGATGAGCTTAAGTGTGCAGGACCACCCTAAGCTGCTGCCCGCTTTCTGGGGGAGGAGGGGAGGGGGGGCCTGCAGAAGGTGGCTCTAGCTTTCTTCCTTGGTCCCCCCTGCTGCCATGTGACAGTGGGCATGCCTCTTCCCACTGAGGAAGCTCTGATTGGCTTGACCCTTGAGGGACCCATGAGGATGGTGGCAGAGAAACTCTTCCATTCATATGAAAACCAGCCTTTGCTTCTCTGCCAGTTACCTGGAGAGCTGACTGCCTTTGGATCCCCGGGTAGGAAAAGGTGGGTGGTGGTTACTGATTTGTCCTTCCTGAGGCTTCACCAGTAGGCAGCCCGGCACACTGGTGAGTCCCAAGGATGCTGAGGCCTTGGCACCTTGGGAAGGAGGATGGGGCCTGTGGGGGACACTGTGAGGTAGGTGGAGGCCAGGGCATGAGTGGTGGGCGCTTTGTTGACCTGTATCAGCCCCCTGCAGGCAGCTCCATCTGTGGCAGCAGCAGGTCCACTGGGGTATGGAGTGTGCAGACACTCTCATTCAGTATCCATGGTGACCTGGGTCCATGTAACTCATATATGCAAGTCACAGGGCAGCCACTGGGCATCTTGTAGGTGGATGTGGCACCTTAACTTGGTGCTGAGTTCTGACACCCTGCCCCCCTTTACCCAAGTGAGCCTAGGTGGCCCTAGTTCCAGAGCAAGGGGTCCGAGTCAGGATGGCAATACCTTCATGATAGTTCAGCCTCCCGCTTATCCTTGCACCTTTCCTCTTATTGAAAATCTAAGTTTGGTGCCAATGACTCATGTCTGTAATCCTAGCTACTCAGGAGACTGAGAAATGAAGATTACAGTTTGAAGCCTGCCTGGACAGGAAAGTCCATGAGACTGTTATCTCCAGTAAACTACCAAAAAAAAAAAAAAGGATGGCGCTGTGGCTCAAGTAGTAGAGAAGGGATAGCACCCAGGGTCTGAGTTCAAGACTCAGTACTGATAGGCACACGTATGCATACATACGCACACATACATCATTCTCTCTCTCTCTCTCTCTCATTTGAATTGTGGGGTGTAGTGGTACATGCCTGTGATCCCAGTTATGCTGGAAGCTTAAATAGTGTCAAAGTCCAGGCTGGATGCAGGACAAAAATTCAAGACCAAAAGTAAAGAAAGGGGGACAATGGGCTGGGGGTATGGCTCCTGTGGTGAAGTGCTTGTTTAGGCAAAAATAAAATGAATAGCCCTGGGCCTCCTGCTCACAGGACTAGTTCCTTGTTATAGCATCAGTTACCATAGTCTCCTCTCCTGCCCAACTGCTGTTCCTGCTGGCTTCCCACTGATCCTTTGCCTTCCCAGACCCTTAAACCTGTGGCCCTTTGCCTAACAAACTACTGTCCCTATTCTAAGTAGTTCAGGGTCATAGAAAGCAGCCCCTGACTTGTCCTGTGTGCATGTGTGTGATTCCCTGGCTCACTGTTGTTTGCATGTACAGAATAAGGTACAGGAAATTCCTTCCTTTTCACTTTCCTTTCAACCTTTTCTAGGTTGAACACCAATGTGGACTTGTACCAGAGTCTGCAGAAATTATTGGCTGACAAAACACTCATGGAGTCCCTTGATGCTGAAACCAGGTAGGTGCATGCTGCTTTTGCTTTTTGAGACTGTGGCTCTCAAGGTGAGGCAGGGAAGCTCCACTCTGGACCCTGGTCTGCAGTAGTCCTGCCCCTTCCCCTCCCCTGCATATGGGCAGGACTTGAACTTATTTATTTATTTGGAATTTAAGAGAATATGTAGTTTATTGGGAATAAAAATACAAACATAAAACCACTTAAATAGGAACCCAGAAAGCTCCTTTTTTCCTTCTCCAGACCCTCTCACCTTAACCCCAATTAAAAAAAAAAATACATTGTGCATACACAATGGCTAGCAAAGGCTAAGCAATGCAAAGCTTCCAGAGATGGCAGATGCTCAGCTTGGGAGGTTGATGAGTAGGTCAGATGAGACCATTTCTAGAGAAGTCACTGTTTAAACACAGCCTTCTGAGCTGGAGGCTGCGTCCTGGGACCTCTGGGACCCCTGACTTGAGCTGCTGATGGGAGGCTGATAACCTACTCTCTCAGGCATCCTCCAGTAGTTTCTCAATGTGAGCCTGCTTCTGCTCCTTTAGCACCTGAAGAAACCAACACATGGCCTCTGAGTCAGTTGTGTTTTTCGGCAAAGACAAGGCAGAGCCAGTCAGATTCCTTACACATGAAGGCTTTTACTCCATTCACACCAGGGCCTGCCCCATCCTCATCCTGCTGTGGTGTTCTTCATTGTCTCCTTACTCCAAGGTGGCTTTATCTCCTGACTGAGGCTAGGGCTGGTTCCTGGACTTGAACCCTGGGCCTCCTCACTAGCTTGGCTTGTTTGCATATCTGGTGCTCTGCTACTTGAACCATGCCTCCAACTTAGTTTTTTGCTACTCTTTTGGGAGATGGAGTCTTATGGACTTTTTTGCCCCAGCTGTCTTCCAACCCCAGTCCTCCTGGTCTCAGGATTATAGGTATAAACCACCAGAAAAAAGCTCAGCTTATCAAACTGAATTGAAAGACTTACTTGCCAAAGTCAATATGTAGGAATATTGGATAAATGACCTTGGTATCTTATTTCTTTGCTCAAATGTGTGTATAGAATAGTCATAGTACAGTTTGCCATTTCTTTGCTCTTAGTATTTATGTCATAGCCTAGATAATTCTCACCCATTTGTATCGGTTTATCTGCATTTTGCCATGGGACACTTACTTCTTTTCACTATCTAGTTTTACCTTACTGCTTCCTTCTGCTGGCCTCTCTCTGTCTCCTGACCCCCTGGGATTCCACAGGCCACTTTCTAACATGTTTGTGCTTGACCTAATGTCGCTCTCATCATGGATTTTACATGTGTCTCCTGTCCTATTTGTGAGTTGTATACTATGAGGTTCAGAGTTGGATTTTATTTATTTATTTTGTTGGTCATGGGGTTTGAACTCTGGGCTTGGGCACTGTTCCTGTGCTCTTCAGCTCAAGGCAAGCGCTCTACCACTTGATCCACACAGCCACTTCCTGTTTTCTGGTAGTTAATTGGAGATAAGAGTCTCATGGACTTTTCCTATCTGGGCTGGCTTTGAACCGCTATCCTCAGATTCCAGCCTCCTGAGCTAGGATTACAGGCATGAGCTACCAGTGCTAGGCTAGAGTTGGATTTTATTCCCACTAACTAGAAGGTGGCAGGAACTAGATCCCGTTTTATCCCATTAATCCTGGTGCTCAGTATACTATTACTTAGCTGTGTCATCAGGGTAGTTTGTGTAATTGTAATTCTAGGCCTCAACATTACTTAAGTGAGAAGAAGCCCAAGTCTATTAATCATGCAAGATTTATACTCAGTACTGACTTTATTTAACAACAAAAAATATTAAAAATTAAAGTTACTTCTGACCCACCTTTAAAGACTGACATTTCGGTGATTAACATATAAAAGTTAGTGGATAAGTCATGTTAAGTTAGTGTATAGAGATGATTAGAACTCAGTAGCTTATCATCTTTCCAGATACATTCCTTGGAGTATTAAGAGTTTTCTACCACTTGTGCCATACCTCCAGCCTGGCTTTTTGCTAGTTATTTTATATTTATTTGTTTTTATTTTTATTGTTTTTTGGGTTCGGTCGTGGGCCTGAACTCTGGGCCTGGGCACTGTCCCTCAGCTCTTCACCTCAAGGCTAGCACTCTACCACTTGAGCCACAGTGCCTCTTCTGGCTTTTTTTTCTGCTCATGTGGTGCTGAGGATTCGAACCCAGGGCCTCCTGCATGCAAGGCAAGCACTCTACCACTGAGCTACCTTCCCAGCCTGCTAGTTATTTTAGAGATGAAATCTTGAGGACTTCTCCCTCAGCTGACCTTGAACCGCTATCCTGCAGCCATCGAAAGATCTGAGCTAGTCAGATCCCTCTCAGAAGGTCCCAATAGGCCTCTAAACATGGAAATCTGACATACTTTTGTCCCTTCTCTTAGGGTACTTTAGTAGTTTTTACTGCCTGTGAAGTTCTGCCATGAGGAAACCCATTTAACTTGAGATTTTTCAAAACCATATATTCCATATGCAAAGAATATAACAAACACAATACAGGTTATAGTGGAGAGAAAAATCCCTTTCATGAGCTACAAAAGATGTAATGTACCTTGTAATAAACTCTGGAAAACAGAGTGCAGAACCTGAACACACACACACACACACACACACACACACACAGTGCCACACACACACACACACAGTGCCACACACACACACACACACACACAGTGCCACACACACACACACACACACACACACACACATACACACATACACACAGTGTGAAAAGTGGCTGAAGTGGAGACACACTATTCTTCCATAAGAAGGAAGAAAGCTCCATGGCACTCTCTGCTGAGAATGTAAGGTTGGTGCTATCCAGTCCATTCCTTTAGATGCACTTTATGTTGTTACTTACAGTGACTTTTGAGTCATGGAGGATAGATCTGCTGTACAGACAGGAAAAGTCTTGTAGAGGAAAGTACCCAAAGGGACTTGTGCCTGGTAGCAAATCATATATAAAAAGACCATATTTAGAAGTGCATTATACTTAAGCCAGAAGAGTCAAGTAGAGCAAAGTTAGAAGGGAGAAATTTCAGCCACAGGTCCTTGTAAGAATCTATGTAGTGTGTGACTGAAGTGTCATTTCCCAGCAGTAGGGAAGGACAACTTGGTTTTTACTGCATGATTCCTGGTCAGTAGACAAGTGTTTTGGTAGAGAAAAGCAGGTGCATGGTTTGGTAATACATATTAATGCATGTATTTGTGGGGGGGGGCAGTTCTGGGTTTGAAATCAGGGTCATGTTCTTGCTTGGCAGGTGGTCTACCACTGAGCCATTCCTCCAGCCCTTTTGTTAACAAAAGTTCTTTTGAGTTGAGGTCTCTGGGCATAAGCCTAGAGCATGAACCACCTGTTTTAGGCTTCCTATTGTAGTTGGGATAGCAGGTGCATGTCACCATGCCCAGTTTCTTCTATTGAGATGGAGTCTTTTGAACTTTTTTTGTTTGGGGCTGGTCTAGAACTGTGATCCTTTTGCTGTCAGCCTCCTATGTAACTGGACCCAACTATTGGTTGAGAAGGTTCTCAAAACCTGGCTGGCCTTGAACTTTGATCTTCTCAGTTTTGCCCTCCAGAGTAGCTAGGATTATAGGCGTGGCCCACCATGCCTGACTCAATATTGGGAGTTTTTTTTTTTCTTCCAAGTTTAAGTTCTTGGAGTTTATCCTTTGTAAATGAAGTGAATAAAGAGATATTCATAGGTTTTAAGAATCATGACAAGGTTTACAGAAGTCCATATGCATAATACAAGACATTAAAAGTTGTATTTCTGAGCAATATTTAATGATAAGTGTTTGTGATGTAATTTTATTTTTAAAAGCTAAATACAAAAGTATAATTAATTGGTGATTCTAAATAATAATATAGAAAGTTTGTTAGAGGGAAATACAGAATTTTAGTAGAGGTTATTGGTGGGATTAATGATTTTAATTTTTTACATTTATTTTTCCCTCCCCTTTCTCCCCCTCTCTCTTTAGTTCCCTCCTTTCCTCTCTCCATTCCTCCTCTTCTTCCACCTTTTCCTCCCCCTCTCTTCCCCTCTTCACTCTTGGCACAGAGTTTCATTGTATAGCCCAAGCTGGCCTCAAACTCTCAATCCTCCTTCCTCTATCTCTCAAACACTAAGATTCAGGTGCACACTACCATACCTGGGTCTGTACACTTCTTTAGTAAACATTCTGTTACACTTACGTGGAATACTATGATAAACCTATGTGGTAAAGCACCACCCTCCCCCCCCCCCCCCCCCCCCCAGTTTATATTTTCTCTTAATAGAAAAAAGAGAAAATACCTTTCCCTGAGAAGAGAATATTCTGCTGTTTAGGAAGGAAACGAGTGTGAGGTGGAGGCAATGAGACCAGTTTTGGGGCTTGAGTGAAACACTTTACATTATTTCCGAAAGAATATGAATGACTGTACTAAGGTGGTCTATTGAATTTTCAGGATTTCGGATCTCAGACTAGAATTTAACTCACTGGTAGAGCACTTACCTACCACGGCAAGGCCCTGGCTTCCATCCTAGCACCATAAGGGATAAACAAAAGCAGTTTAGAAGAACTTCTATTTCTCTTCATCAAAGATCTCTTTGGGGATGGAAGGTGGAAGTGGTGGAACACACCTGTGAACGCAGCACTTGGGAGGCAGAGGTGAAAGGATGGACAATGGGAGGCCGGCCTGGGCTATAAAACCAGCCCTTGTTTAAAAACAATAAACAAAAAGAAAGGAGAGTGATAGCTTTGACAAAATTATCGGGAAGATAAATATATCCATTTTGAAAAGTCAAAGCCAGACCAGGATATCAAATATTTGGTTAACCTACGACCAGAAGCAAAATAATTTTTAAAAATTACATTGTTGACAGAGAAAGTGTTAGATTTGAAATTGCTGCCAAGATTAAAAAGCAAGAAACTAATTCCCCATAGCCAAGAGACTCATCTTCCAGCCCAGCATCAAGGAATTGGAGGAGAAAACCTGAAAATCTCACGGCAGGGGCCTTTGAAAAGCCATCCAAGTGTAAACTTTTATGTTTTTAATTATTGGGATTTGGATGGAGTTGAAATACTTGTGTAATTACAATGGTGCACTTTCACAAGTTTGCTCTATGAATGAAAGAATAGGCTTTTACATGACAAGCAAGTTGTAATTGTCAGTCTGAGGTGTGTTCCCTGACTTCTGAGATATAAAGCTCCTTGTTCAAAACAGATTTTGTGTGTGTGTGTGTGTGTGTGTGTGTATGTGTGTATGTGTATGTGTGTATGTATTAAAGCAACTCTCAGCAATAAGTTTTTAATAATGAGAACTTAAAGACTTTTTTTTTTAAACCCATTGTAACCTGAGACTTATTTTATTCCAGGAGAGTGGCAGAACTGTTTATGTTTGATTTTGAAATCAGTGGAATCCATCTAGATGAAGAGAAGGTAACACTTCTGTGCTGTGACTGATTCCTCCTGGTGTGCTGATGTTTAGTTGATGTCTTTGTTGCTATTGCCCTAGGATATTACTTCAATTTGCCTATCACAAAAATGCTTAGGTGTTCGATTTGTTATGAAATCCCCTTGTGGGTGGCCTTTGAGTGTAGTAGAGTCTGGAGGTCAGCCAGTCACTCCCTGATAAGTCACAATTAAAAAATGTCTTGAAAGCTGAAACCAGTGGCTTACACTTATAATCCTAGCTCCTCAGGAGGGTGAGCCATAAGGATCATGGCTTGAAGCTAACATGAACAGGAAAGTCCTTGAGATTCTTATCTCCAGTTAACCACCAGAAAGCCAGAAGAGGAGCTGTGGCTCAAGTGGTCAAGAACTAGTCTTAGCAAAAATGCCAAGCAAGAACATAAAGCCCTTAGTTCAAGCCCCAATATTAGCACCAGAAAAAGAAAAGCGGGGGAAAAAAGATTTGACATTGGGGCATTTTGTATGTCATGGGTTAAGGATGAAGTAGCAGTGCTCAGAGAGATTGGCAGAGGGATAGCAGGGCTGATCTTGCAAAATTGAACACACAGGACTCTACAGAAGCATTTGTTCTCATTGTATGTTCTGGCAGGATAAGTTGAGGTCATGTGTGTTTATGCAGAGTGGAAGACTTGGCACACAGTCCAGACTTCTTGCTTTGCAGATACGGGAACAAGACAGAGCAATTTGTTCAAGTTCTCACCCTTAGTTTCCAGGCCCTGATCTCTGTCCCACGTGACAGGCATGAGCTCAGGGTTGGAAGGGTGTCAGTAGCTGGGTACCACTGAGAGTCTGCTGCTCACATTGCCCTGTCCTACCTGTAGTCTACTTAGCGTGCCCCACCCCCTTATTCCCTGTGCTGGTACATAGGGCTTGAACTCAGACCCTGTCTCTTCGCATTTTCACTCAAGGCTATTGCTCTACCACTTGAACCATGGCTCTGCTTCCGGCTTTTTGGTGGTTAATTGGAGATAAGAGTTTCATGGACTTTTCTGATCTTGATCCTCAGATCACAGCCTCCTGATTTACAAGCATAAGCCACTGGTGTCCTGCTAGAGGGAGGAATTTTGTATTTACTGGAACTCTACCTTAACTTGTGTCACTCCTGTGGTATATAGCCTTTTGTTGAAGTGCCCAAATTAGGGATCTATCAAATATTGCACCTATGAATCATGTTTTTGTTTTGTTTTTATGCTGAGACTAGAGCCCGGACTCAGGGCCTAAATCCTGTCCCTTAACTTTTTTACTCAAGGCTGGTGTTCAACTACTTGAGCCACACTTCCAACTTCTGACTTTTTGTGGTTAATTGGATAGAAAAAGTCTCCCAGACTGGTCTGTCAGGACCAGCACTGATCCTTAATCCTCAGATCTCAGACTTCTGATTAGCTAGAATTACAGTCATGAGCTACCAGATCCAACTGGATCTTGTTTTTAAGACAAGGTTTTGCTATAGAGTTCAGGTTGGCTTTGAACTCAAGGTCCTCCTGTCTCTACCTCCCAAGTCCAGGAATTATAGGCCATATCCATGTTGCTGTTTTTTTTAAATGGCTTATGTTAGTTATGAGTTACAGGGGGGGGCACGCGGGGGGGGGGGGGGGATTTCATTGTTACATTACATGTTTATACTGTTCGAATCAATTTCATCCCCTACCACACTTCCTGTCCCTTTTCCCCTACAAGCTTCTTTTTTTGTTGTGTTGAGATAAGGTCTTGCTATATATGCCAGGCTGATTTGGAACTTTCTATCTTCTTGCCTCAGTCCCTGAGGACTGGGATAATAGGCATGTGGGTTGTGTTTCTAGCACACACTAGATTTGAGGCAGTAAGTGCAAATATGTAGCAAATTGCTGTAATGCTGGCTGACACTGAGTTTGATAGCTTAGAAGGAACATGGGTAGTTCTGATCTATTATGTTCTACACCTTCCTGAACAGTACTTTTGAAACTTGGCCAACCAATTGTGTGTTTGGTTTTTCAGCACAAACACTGCTGCTTTTATGTAATGTGTGCTTCCCCTAGAGTAAATTCTTCTCTCTCAACTTCCAAGTCTGTTTGCAAAGATCCCCACTATGACAGGGTATGAGGAAGATGCCTTACAGGTCTTAGAAGAGAGAGCTGAAGGAAACCCAACCACATAATTTATAAAACATAAAGGACAGTAGTCTTTCCATGTTTACTATGTTGCCCAGGCTAGTGTTAAACTTCTAGGCTGAAGTGATTATCCTGTCTCAACCTCTCAAGTATCTAGGACTACAGCTGTGTACCTCTACTATCAACATGGTTTTATTTAAATTTTATTTTCTGATCTGAAATTAAGAGGGTTGTGTGTGTGTATGTGCGCGCGCATGCATACATGCATGCGTGCGTGTGTGCCAGTGTGCCAGTCCTGGGACTTGAACTCAGGGTCTGGGCACTGTCCCTGAATTCCTTTGATCAAGCTAGCTCTCTGCCATTTGAGCCACAATGCCAATTGTAGTTATTTCTGACTAGTTTATTGGAGATTAGAGTCTCACAGACTTTCCTGCCCCATCTGGCTTCTAGCCATGATCCTCAGATCTCAGCTTCCTGAGTAGCTAGGATTACAGATGTGAGCCACCAGTGCCCACTTCATGAGTTTTGGGATTAATACCATTTTCATTTAGTAGCATTCCATTTGAAAAGCATTTTCATAGGACTGTTAGATTTGAGAGTATCACACATTTGAGTTATTATGTCAGAATGGTGAAATGGTATGCCTGGCAAGTTTGAAATAATTTAACGTTTTAATTTTTAAAAACTTTAGCTGGGTGCTGGTGTCTCATGCCTATAAGCCTAGCTACTCAAGAGGCTGAGATCTGAGGCTCACAGTTAGAGGCCAGCCTGGGCAGGAAAGCCCATGAGACTCGTCTCTCCAATAAACTACTCAGAAAAAGCTGGAAAGGGCACTGTGGCTCAAGTCGTAGACCACAAGCCTTGAGCAAAAGAAGCTTAGAGGTAACCCCCCAGGCCTTTAAGTTCAGGCTCTAGGACCAGCAGAATAAATAAATAAAGAAATAAATAATTTTATCTGTTCTGGGGATTGAACTCAGGCCTCTCACTTGCATAGTCCACTTGCCTCATTGCCATGTTATCCATGCTTCTTGCCTTTTGCTTGCTAATTGTTGATAGAGCCTTGTGGACTTTCCTGTCCTGGCCAGCTTTGAATTGAAGTCCTCCAGATCCCATCCTCCTAAGTAGCAGGGATTACAGGTGTGAGCCACAAGCACCTGGCTACATTCTAAATTTTTTTTCCATAGTACAGGCTTTAGGGAAAGTTGGAAAGCTGTCATCTTATTTCAGGCTCAGTCTTGTTATTCCACTGGTTCCCCTTAGGTGGGGTTACATGGCCGTATCAGAAGAAGGAGGCAGAAAGAAATCCAGACTGAGACCAGAGGCATTGGCAGCCATGAAAATCTGTTTTTTTCCATGAAGTTTGATTTTCTTGTATAGAAAATGTTTGGTTATTACTATACACTTTTACTTTTTTTCAACATCTCTATCAAGCATATATCTCCATCTAATATACTTATCTTAAAGGTTAATCTGCCTGTAGAAACTACATTGTCGAATCTATTTTAGCTGTGGACCACTTCCTAGAGTTACCTATGATTCACCTGAGGTCAAACTGGAGCCCATTCCAGAAACCCATCCTTTTTCCAATACAAAGTTATGCCCACTGTGCTGTTAGACCTGATTAATTATATGGACTTGATTCTGTGTTTCATCTTCAATATTTGTGGATTCCCTTAACAACACACCCTTTCCCAGGAGGTTGTGTTATAAGGATGTGACTGGAAGTGGAAACTCATAGGTACGTGTGTGGGTGTGCACCATCCATGTTCTTCTCAGTGGCTGGGGATGTGGTGGTCATGGGGCCCATGTGCCACGTGCTGGGGACATAAGAGTAGAAGACAGAGCTTCGCCCTAGGAGGATTCAGTTTATTCCTACCCACATCCTCTCTCTCTCCCTTTCTCTTTTTTTTTTTGAGACAGGGTTTCACCTAGTCCAAGTTGGCCTCAAACTCCCACTCTTCCTGACTCATCCTCTTGAAGGCTGGGCTACTTCTAACAGCTTGTTTGCAACTCAGTATGTGAAACATCAGAACCATTGATGGTCCCTGCTCCTTCATATAGAGCTGACTACTACTCACTTCTGTCCTTTGGTCTAATCTGTCCTTCAAATACTTAATTTTTTCTTAGATTAAAAATACTTCATAAGTGCTGTTCAACAGCTATAACCAGCTTGCTGGATTTTATTGCTCTCTCTCTTTCCCCCTTTCTCTCTCTCCCTGTCTTCTCTCTTTATTATACTGGTATTTGGGGCTTGAACTCAAGCTCTTGTTTTTTGTTTTTGTTTTTTGCTCAAAGCTAACTCTTTACCATTTGAGCCACATTTCCACTTCTGGCTTTTTGCTGGTTAACTGTGCATAAGAGTCTCATGGGCTCCCTGCCCAGGCTGCCTTCAAACTGCGATCAAGTCCTCTGAGTATCTAGGATTAGAGGTGTGAGCCACCAGCACCCAGCTATAGCCCTCTTAATGACAGCTTTGCAGCAGGGAATGGAAGAGGATTCTGTACTTTTTCATATCACTAATTTCAAATATTAGTTACATATGTGGACAGATCCTAGAACTCTAGAAGTTGTGTAAATCTTAAGACATACAAGCACTACAAAATCATCAAGGTAATCTTTTGTTGGAATCTTAAATATCCACTAAAATAAGAATATTAAACCTTAAGTGTCAACAAAAATCTATGTTGATTTATCTATCTGTAGAGATTCTTTTTTTTTTTTTTTGGGTCCGGTCGTGGGGCCTGAACTCTGGGCCTGGGCGCTTTCCCTCAGCTCTCAGCTCAAGGCTAGCACTCTACAACTTGAGCCAAAGCGCCACTTCCGGCTTTTTTCTTATGTGGTGCTGAGGAATTGAACCCAGGGCCTCATGCATGCAAAGCAAGTGCTCTACCACTGAGCCACCTTCCCAGCCCTATCTGCAGAGATTCTGAAGTGAATTGTTATATCTTCATTTCTGATATTGCTGATGCCTGTAACTTACCTTTTTCCCTCCCATATACAGCGTAGGAGAGCAGTGGACCTTAATGTGAAAATCTTGGATTTGAGCAGTACATTCCTCATGGGAACCAACTTTCCCAACAAGATAGAAAAACATCTTTTACCAGAGCACATTCACCACAACTTTGCCAGTGATGGACGCCATGTGGTAATAGATGGCCTGCACGCAGAAGCCCCAGATGACTTGGTATGTGTTGTGTGTTCTCTCTGTTGTCTAGCCCCCAACCGAATGCACAAAACAAGTGTGTGTTACTGCTGTTTAAACCCAGGCTTCCTTGACAACATGATAATATTCTTAAAAAGTTGCTAGACTCCAGTGGCTCACACTTGTATTCTTAATTACTCAGGAGGCTGAGATCTGAGGTTCATGGTTCAAAGCCAGCTTAGGCAGACAAATCTGACTCTTACCTCCACTTACTTACCACAAAGCCAGAAATGGAACTGTGGCTCATGTGGTAGAACACTATCCTTGAATGAAAAAGCTAAGAGACAATGTTCCTGAGTTCAAGCCCCAACACACACATACAAATCTTATTAGAATTACTGAGCCCTGAAGGAAAAACTTGCCCAGGGGTGGGGGGAGGATCAGTCATTGATTCTACAAAACGCTTTGAATAGTGAAAAAGGATTTAATTATCCCTGTCTCATATGTAGCACCACGGCTGACCTTTGAGACTTAATACACCGAAGCACTGGTCCCCTGGGGCTCCCACCAGGGATGCTCTTGTGGTGTGACTGGTGGTTTTCTCCACCCTGTATGTGAGCCATTACTGGACCAGGAAGTGATGCTTGTCTGCAAATGTAGTGTGAGAGCTAGCCTGTGTTACTGTTGCTTGGGACACTGTGTCATGACATTCTTTTATAACTCTTTTGTGTTCATTTTTTAAATACAGGTTCGAGAAGCTGCTTATAAAATTTTTCTTTACCCCAGTTCTAGCCAATTGAAATGTTTAGAACAGTTGCTTATCAGCAGAAATCTTCTGGCAAAGCTTGTGGGGTATTCTACATTTTCCCATAGGGCCCTTCAAGGAACAATAGCTCAAACTCCAGGTAAGCTTGCTGAAGAATGAGATAGGGTTTTTATAAAGCTTAGCTTCTGTTTACTTATTTTATTAAAGTTTTTTTTTCTTTTTGGCAGTGCTGGGTATCAACCCCAGGGTATCATGCATGCTAGGCAAATGTTTTAGGAACTACTAAGCTATATCTCTAGTGCTAAATTTCTGATTTTAAACAGTTATAAATGAGTGGCTTCCTCTCTCCCTCCCTTCTTTCCTCCCTCCTTTCCTTCTCCCCCCTCCCTCCCTCTCTCTCTTTCTCTCTCTCTCATTCTCTATTTCTTCCTTCCTCCTTCTATTCTTCTTCTTCTCCCCCCCCCCCCCCTTTTTTTTTGCTGGCCCTAACTCAAGGCCAGGGCACTGTTCTTGAGCCTCTTTGTGCTCAAGGCTAGTATTCTATCACTTGAGCCACAGCACCACTTATGGCTTTTTTTAAGGGTTTATTGGAGACAATAGTCTTATGGACTTTCTTGCCCAGGCTGGCATTGAACCATGATCCTCAGACCTCAGCCTCCTCAGTGGCCAGGATTACAGGTGTGAGTCACAGCATCACCAGGTTTCTTCCTTCTTTTTTTCTTTCCTTTTTGGTGCCAGTACTAGATCTTGAATTCAGAACCAGGGCACTCTCCTTTTGCTATTTTGCTTAAGGCTGGTGCTCTTCTACATGAGCCACACCTCTACTTCTAGCTTTTGGTGGTTAATTGGAGATAAAAGTCTCATGGACTTTCCCTGCCCAGTCTGGCTTTGAACTGCAATCTTTGGGTCTTAGTCTTTTTAGTTCTTTTTCTTGCCTTATTTTTGTTTTTATTTTTTTAAGACAATTTCACAGTCCAGCTTGGCTGTGAACTTGATATGTAACCCAGGCTTGCTTACAATGTGTGCTCCTCCTGTCTCAGTCCCTGGGGTGTTGAGATTATAGGTATACACTAATTTACATTCAGTGACCCATTTATAAAGACGTTTGACATCTTTCAATTTGGTCTTCAAATGATCAGTTTCCTTTCATGAACATATCGAATATAAATCACACCTGAATTTAGTGATGCTAGTTTATATAATTTTCATCATAACTCACCTTGTTGCTGTGCCCAAGGTAATCAAATTGGTTGGAAATAGGGTGAGAGGATGTTTTGGGATTGGAATTGGAGTGAGAGGATGAAAGATCAGTGTTTCTAGTAAGGTGAAGGTTAAATCAAGCATTTCACATTATATACACACACGCACACGCACACGCACACACACACACACACACTCTAACCCTGGGATTGGAATTGGAGTGAGAGGATGAAAGATCAGTGTTTCTAGTAAGGTGAAGGTTAAATGAAGCATTACACACACACACACACACACACACACACATGAAGCATTACACACACACACACACACACACATGAAGCATTACACACACACACACACACACACACACACACACACACACACACACACACCCTCTAACCCTCCTTTTAGGGAGGAGTCCTGCTTTGGAAGGCATTTGTTCAGGGGGAGTGGCCATGTCTTCTCTGATGTTTTTGCTGCATTATCTTGTGCTATGCTGAGGTCCTTGTAACCAATGGCCTTGATTTGAGCCCCACATTGCCAGGTAAAGGTAAATATGCCTATAGGTTGGCAAGATGGATATTCAGATAAAATAGTGCCATGGGACTTTAGAGGGGTGTTAGATAGCTCTTGGGCTGAAGCAGAAAGGGGTGGAATTTGAGGTGCACAGTGAAGGATTTGGAGTCTTCGCCAGAGGAGGCCACAGGAAAGAGGGTAAATGAGGTACAGTGGACACTTCCCCAAAATGGCTATGCAGCAAGTAAGGCTTCATATTACATTTTTTTTTTGGGGGGGGGTCCAGTCGTGGGGCCTGAACTCTGGGCCTGGGTGCTGTCCCTCAGCTCTTCAGCTCAAGGCTAGCGCTCTACCACTTGAGCCACAGCGCCACTCCCGGCTTTTTTCTTTTTGCTTATGTGGTGCTGAGGAATCGAACCCAGGGCCTCAGGCATGCAAGGCAAGTGCTCTACCACTGAGCCACCTTCCCAGCCCCTCATATTACATTTTTTTAGTGACTTTTTCAGGTAGACTGACAGGTGGGATGAATGACTAGAAAAAGGAGAATGTGAACCATGGTTATCAGCCTGGTGCTGGTAGCTCATTCATGCCTGTAATCCTAGCTTCTCAGGAGGCTAAGATCTGACAATCACCATTCAAAGTTAGCCTGGGCAGGAAAGTCCATGAGACTCTGCACTTAACCGGGAAAAAGCCAGGAGTGGTGGAGTGCCAGCCTTGTGCAAAAAAGCTCAGAGACAGCACCTAGTCCCTGAATTCAAACCCCAGTACTGACAAAAACCCCAACAAACCAACCAAAGAAAAATGTGGTTATCAAGAAATAGAAAACATATATGCAGATAGACTTGGAAGCAGTTCTGTGAGGCAGCTGCTGCTGTCTTGAAGTAAGATGTCATGTTGGATGGCAGCAGTTTTTATCCTCCTCAGTTTGTGCCAGCATTTCCCAAAGCACTTTGGGGTGCTGTCTTCAGGCTGCCTGTGTGGGACTGGCTAATATCAGCAGTGGTAAGAGACCTGTGGCTTTGTGGTTTCAGCTAACCTCCCTTCTTCCCTTAGCCTTATATTTCCTTCAGAAAGGAGATAACTTAAAGAGAGGGCAAGAAGCTCAAGCCATCTGGAATGCATAAGACCAATGTTTGTGGCATACTGAAATACACATGAAAGCTCTGTACAAGTGAATTAGTGGCTCAGTGCTGGACAAAACAATACACAGGAAGCATTCCCTTCATGGGGTATCATGACAATTCTACCCTGTTGTCTTTACAGGCCTGTAAGTTCTGATACCAAGAGCTCAGGTGTTGGATAAATGCTGAACGTTCTGTTAGAGCCTAGCATTTTCAAGTTTTAATTTTGCTTGGATTTTTTTTTTGTTTTGATTCTCAACTCATGATTCTACCTTTATATGTAAAAGATAAAACTAATTATTCAAGGAAGCATCACTTTCTACCATTAAATTTTCAGTAAATCATATTTCTAAATTGTACTGAGTTGTAGATTCAAACCAGAGACTAGCTGTCTCTTGAAAGTGTAGGAAAGAATTAGGCAGGTGTCATTGGCTCATGCCTGTAATCCTAGTACTCAGGAGGCCGAGAGCTGAGAATTGAGGTCTGAAGCCATTCTGGACAGATAGTCTGAGAGACTCTTGTCTCCAGTTAACCAGCAAAAAGCCAGAAGTAGAGATATGGCCCAACTGGTAGATCACCAGCCTTAAGTAAGTGAAAAGCTCAGTGAGTGAACAACCCTGAGTTCAAGTACCAGTACACACACACACACACACACACACACACACACACACACACACACACACACACACACACACACACACACACACACACACACACACACACACACACCCTACACAACCCCTTGGGAAAATATATAGAAATGTTGGGATATTTTTTCCTTAGCCTCCTTTAATGCTTTTAATTTTAAGAATAATCTAAGCTTTGGGTTACTACCATATCTTTGTAATTTGTTTTTCTGAAGAGATAATCATCACCTAGAAATATTTTGTACATACCTAGCATATGCTAGCAACTGAAAAATATCACTTTAAGGGAGACTAGTAGTATGTGGTGATGATCATCACATTGCAATTTTAATAAATACATTTGATTTCATGTAATTGAAGATCATTTCTTTGAATTTCCCTTTTAGAGACTGTCATGCAGTTCCTTGAGAAACTATCTGACAAGCTTTCTGAAAGGTTAGTTTTATTCTATTCCTATTTAGCATTTTAGTTATGCATTATTTAGTTTTTAAAAAAAGATTCAATTTATAAAACAATTGGAAAATAAAATTTGTTAGTTTTAGTGGAATCCTTTTAAGGTATAGCAAATAGTAGTACTTGAAATCTTGCTAATGAGTGCTTTGCAGTTTATTGTAACAATGCCAAATTATTCTGAAGTTTGGTCCTTTCAAGATGTAGCTTAGTGGTGCTTTTAAAAGTGGAGACTGTCTGGACTGGTAGCTCATACCTGTTAATCCTAGCTATTCAGGCAGCTGAGATCTAAGGATTGAGGTTCAAAGCTAGCTAGGTTAGGAAAGTCCCTGAGACTCTTTTTTTTTTTTTTTTTTTTTTTAGTCGGTCGTGGGGCTTGAACTCTGGGCCTGGGTGCTGTCCCTCAGCTCTTCAGCTCAAGGCGAGCGCTCTACCACTTGAGCTACAGCGCCACTTCTGGTTTTCTAGTGGTTTATTGGAGATAAGAGTGTCACGGTCTCTCCTGCCCTGGCTCGCTTTGAACCATGATCCTCAGATCTCAGCCTCCTGAGTAGCTAGGATTACAGGTGTGAGCCACCAGCGCCCGGCTCTCCCTGAGACTCTTATCTCCAATTAACCCGCAGAAGTGGAGCTGTAGCTCAAGTGGTAGAGTGCTAACTTTGAGCGAAAAGTTAAGGACCAGGCCATGAGTTCAAACCCCAGTACTGGCCAAACAAAACAAAACAAAAGGTGGAGATCTCAGTGCTAGATGCTGATATATATACCATTGTCTCTTGGTGTCTTAGAGAAATTTGGATTATCACGAGTTTACTTTCCCAATACAAGTTAAAGTTGATATATATTGGAAAGAAATGTAAACAAGTTAGTTCTTTCATAATGTAATTACTAAAAATGTCCTAACAGCCATAAACCTGTCTTACAGAACTGTAAAAGATTTTGAGATGATGAGAAAAATGAAAATGAAACTTAATCCTCAAAATTCTGTAAGTAGCTATGTTGGAATGTTGTTATAATGTGAACACACCACCCCCTGAAATCATTGTCTCTCGCTTGTAGAACTTAGGATATGGTGGGTCTATGGAGTCTTCTTTCTGAAGTTTGCTTTGGGTGAATCAAAAGTGTTGAAGCCTCTAGTTTAAGAGCTGGAGTCTGATGCTGTTTTGAAATGTAACATTTTTAGAGATTAGTTATGTACATGGGTGTCTATGTATAGACAGGTACATTCACATAATACATATTTATGTAAGGGCTGCTTCTAATCTGTGCAAATCAGCTTCTTAATTTGAAATGGCTGGGGGCTGGGAAGGTGGCTCAGTCGTAGAGTGCTTGCCTTGCATGCATGAGGCCCTGGATTCGATTCCTCAGCACCACATAAGCAAAAAGAAAAAAGCCGGAAGTGGCATTGTGGCTCAAGTGGTAGAGCGCTAGCCTTGAGCTGAAGAGCTGAGGGACAGTGCCCAGACCCAGAGTTCAGGCCCCATGAACGGACCCCACCCCCACCCCCCCAAAAAAAAAGAATTGAAATGGCTTTATTTTTGGTGGTACTGGGATTTGAACTCTGGACCTTATTATGCCTACTAGGTGAGCACTCTTCAGTGAAAGCATGTCTCCAGCCTTTTTTATGTTATTTTTTGCATAGGATCTTAACGTTTTTGCCCAGACCAGCCTTAAACAGTGATTCTCATACCTGTGCCTCCTAAGAAGCTGGGATTAATTACAGGTGTTTGCCAAGACACATAGCTTATTGAGATAAGAGTCTCACTATTTTTGCCTGATCTGGCCTAAACTGCCATCCTCCTGTCTCTCAATGAGTCGAGTAGCTAAAGACCTCACTGGTTTTTTAGCCTTGCCTTCTTGCTGCCCTCATAACCATCCTGGACTTACACTTCTTAGTAATATTCCCAGCCTCATGTTAGGCATAGAGTAGGTACTCCGTGCTTACTTGAACTAGGAGTGAATAAATGCACAAATGAACGAATGATCAGTATTCCTTGCTTTTTACTCCTGTCCCTGTAGCATCCTGTCCTTTTCTCACTTTCCTTTGTTTTTTTATTCTTTACTTGTAACTAGTATTTATACGCCAGCCACATAAACATTGTATATTAGGTAGCCTTCACCCCTTCAGAAATACTGTATCCAGGTGAGATCTCCTCTCTCACTGAGCTCAACTGCTTCCTCTGTCAAAACTTCCTTTAGGTACAGTGGCTCACACCTATAATCCTACCTACTCAGGACACAGATCTGAGGATCACTGTTCAAAGCCAGCTCAAGCAGGAAAGCTTATAAACTCTTATCTCCAATTAACCGGCAAAAAGCCAGAAGTAGAGCTGTGGCTCAAATGGTAGAGTGCTATCCTTGAGCTAAAAAGCTTGGGGACAGTGCCTAGGCCCTGAGTTCAAGCCCCAGGGATGGCACAAACCCCTCCAAAAACAATTTCATGTAGGCTTTTCTTCCTCTATTGTGATTTAAATGCCCCTCTGGGTGCTTCTTACTCCCTTGTGTTAGGCTTGGAAACAATTTTGCGTGTCTTTTCTCTAGTTTAAAAAGCACTCTTCCCTGGAGGCATGTTTTCCTTAGCATAGCCTAGATGTGATGCTGTCAGAGGGCAGTGTTTCTCCTGAAGCCCTGTGTTGCTGTCCTGGGATCCTGCTCTCTGTCTGGCATCAGCAGACGGTCCAGGGTTGTGGAGAAAGGATGTGAGTCCATGTGTGTTTTTCATTGCCACACATCTCACGATAGATGTATGATCACAGGACATGGCAAAGAGCACTTGGTTACTTGAGGGGTGATGCTGCGCTGCCATCTTGAAGACTAACAATGGTGAGATTCCTGAGCTCTTACCGTGGGCCAGAGGTTGTGCCTAGTAGTCAAGCACCTTCAGCAGTGGGAGGTATACAGAGTCATGAATGACTGCATATACCAGAGCTGTGTGTATGCCAGGACATGGTGAACACTGATGTCAGCAAGGTCCCTATCCTCGCGTAGCTTGTACAGTTTGCATGGAAATCACACAGCCTAGGCCCTTAGCCAGTCCTTTGTCACTTGGACCCCTGGTGCAACCTTTCATTTCATTTCATTTCTTTCAGTATTCTATAATAGTCAAAACAATTTTAACACTTCTTTTTAGTGGTACTAGGCTTCAGCTCAATACCTTGTACTTATACTTACTAGGCAACTTCTCTACCATTTGAGCAATGTTCCCAGACCTTTAACTTTACCTCATTTTCCAGGTAGAGTCTTGCTTTTGCAGGGGTATGGTCTTTTTAGACTGTGATTCTCCTGTTCCTGCTTTTTGCATAGCTGGGATTACAGGTGTGCACCAACATGCCCAGCTCCCTGATACTATTTCTTTATAACATATTTTCTTTGCCAAGATTCAAGTTAATTCTACTTTAATTACAATTTGAATTAATGCTTTCATTTTAGGGATATGCTTTAGGCTTCTTGCTTAGGTTAGAAAGAACTCTAATCTGACCTTATGTATCTTAGTCATTATTATAATATATAGGTTATATTTCACACACAAAAATTTCATCATGGCTAATTCACTACAGTTGTAGTAAACGACATTTAGGAAGACATTTGTTGTTTTCCCCAAAGCTTGAATTATGCCTTACTTATACAACCCTACCCTTTCATTACAGAAAAATCATGTTCTGTCGGCTATGAAATCCTAAGGTTTTTGTTTTGTAAAATTATTCTGATTTTTATTCTATTTTTTTATTCAGTTTTCATTCTATAAATTTGTTGAAGCTGAGATCTAAGGATCATGGTTTGAAGCCAGGCCTAGTGAACAAATCTGAGAGACTCTTATCTAATTAACTAGCAAAATGGCAGAAGTGGAAGTATAGCCCAACTAGTACAGTGTCTTCCTTGAGTGGAAAAGCTAAGTGAGAGCAAAAAGCTCTGGGTTCAAGCCCCAGTACTGGCACACTCTTGGTTGAGTTTCCATTTTATAAGCTGGCTGTTTATTTTACTGATAAAAATATGTAAAAGTCAATAACTTTTTAATAGTCAATTATTCCATTGTAGGAGTTAATGCCTTGGGACCCACCCTACTACAGTGGTGTGATTCGTGCAGAGAGGTAAGTCTTTTAGGAACTAGCTGGAAGAAAGGAGGAGGAAAGCCAGGTGCTGGTGGCTCACACCTGTAATCCTAGCTAATCAGGAGGCTGAGGATTTTGTTTTGAAGCCAGCAGGAAAATCTGTGCGACTCTTATCTCCAGTTAACCACCAAAAGAGCTGGAATTCGAGCTGTGGCTTAAAGTGGTAGAGTGCTAGCCTTGAACAAAAGAGCTTACAGACACTGTTCAAGCTCTGAGCTCAAGTCCCAGGACAGCCACTAAATGAATGAATGAATGAATGAATGAATGGAGGAAGGAAGGAAGAAGAGTAATATTAACTGTGCCATAATGTCATTTGCTCAGGTGGCTAGACCATACACTTCCAGTAGTGCCATACTACAACCAAGTCGTAACCACTGGGACCTTGCAGACACTGTGCACATTCAAGCCATAGCACTGTATCTTGAAATTTTTTTGAGTCAGCATCTCACTGTATAGTTCAGATTGGCCTCAACTATGGTCCTCCTGACACTGCTTCCTGAGTGTTGGGATTACAGGTGTGTACCATTATGCCTGGTATACTAGGCAAGAGGGACCTTCAGTTTGAAGTTTGTATTTTTCTGATTAGAGGTGAAGATGTGTTCATTCTTTGCAATATCTGTGCTTTTGGAGGCTTTACTGTCCTCTGGTGTCCTTGTTTTTTCTCCTTGTTGCTTTAAATTCCCGAGAGAGAGTCCTTAGCTAGACCTAATGGCTATGGTTATGGCTGTTTGAGTTGTTTTCCCTGGGTTGTGTGGCTGTTCAGAATTTGGATAGGTGTGGGGGAAGCAAATGTATGTTCTGAGTACAGTGGTCAGGTCTCAGTCTGTTAGTGGCCTCTACCCTGGGACTGCGGCCTTTATAAGCATTTCTTAGTCCCTCCCTCCTCCTTGTGGAGAGCTGGGAAGGCTGGAGTTTGCTTGCTCTGAGTATTTCCATTTCCCATTCCCCTGGTTCAGTCAGGTTTGGTAAAGTAATATTCTGTGTGTGTGTATGTACAGATACTTGGCTTGAACTTAGCACCTGTGCACTCTTGCTTGGCTTTTCATTCAAGACTGGTGCTCTTTCACTTAGCCATATCTCTACTTCTGGATTTTTGCTCGTTAATTAGAGACAAGAATCTCAGAGTCTTTTCTGCCCAGGCTGGCTTTGAACTTTGATCCTCTGGTCTCAGCATTTTAGTAGCTAGGATTACAAGCATGAGCACCAGTATATAACTCCATCATTCTCTTATGATAACTTCTTTCTTCCCTCTCAACACAACCGTCTATGGTGCCCTGCCATGTCCCTCCTCCCTGCATGCCCCAGCACTGTCTGTGAGCAAGTTGGCTGCTTCAGATTCTCCTGCATCCTTCACAGGAGCTGTGCTGAGATCAAGCCTGTCCTCCCTTTCTACCCATGTAGCTTGCTGGGATGGAGCAGTGAGCAACGCTGTCAACTCTAGGAAGATAATGGATCAGAGCTAGGCTGTATCTGTGAGCTTCTGTTACCCATCCCCAATTGATGTGAAATTTGTATTTACATGCAAAATCAGTCACTCACATAGTAATAGAATGCAGTTTTTGTTATGTAGAGCAATAACAATATGTTTAGTTATTCTATGTTTTGTATATAAGTAGCAAAGTAGAGTATCTACAATTTTTCTAGAGCTGTTACTTTTGGCTTTGGTTATAAATTTTGGCCTGATTTAATGACTCAGAAATTAATATATGAATTACAAATTTTAAATCTATTTTGATTTATATCAGAATGCATAAGGCACGAAAGAGTTACTTTTAGATGAAGGATAATTAAGATTACCAGTCTATAACTGGTAATCCTCAATTTGAAGATACATAGCTGTGAAACGTATACATTAAAAGCTGATTGTTAGTTGGGCCCCAGTGGCTCAGACTTGTGATCTTAGCTATTCAAGAAGCTGAGATCTCGCTGGGCGCCTGTGGCTCATGCCTGTAATCTTAGCTACGCAGGAGGCTAAGATCTGAGGATCATGGTTCAAAGCCAGCCCGGGCAAGAAAGTTTGTGAGACTCTTATCTCCAGTTAACCAACAGAAAATGGGAAATGGTACTGTGGTTCAAGTGGTAGAGCGATAGTTTTGAGCTGAAGAGCTGAGGGACAGCACCCAAGCCCAGAGTTCAAGTCCCACAGCCAACAAAATGAATAAATAAAAAGAAGCTAAGCTCTGAAGATCATAATTCAAAGCCAGCCTGGGCAGAAAAGTTTATGAGACTCTTATTTCCAGTTGACCATCAAAAAGCCAGAAATGGAGGTATTGCTTAAGTGGTTAAATATTAGCTTTGAGCAAAAAACCCAAGCAAGAGCTTGAGGCCTTGAGATAAGCCCCAGTACCAGCACCGGAAAAAAAAAAAATCTGATTGTGCCTGGTGCTGGTGGCTCATGCTTGTAGTCCTAGCTACTCAGAAGGCTGAGATGTAAGGCTTGTGGTTCGAAGCCAGTCTGGGCAGAAAAGTCTCCATGAGACTCTTATCTCCAGTTAACCACTCAAAACCTGGAAGTGGCTGTGTGGCCCAAGTGGTAGATTGCTAGCCTTGAGCACAAAGAGGCTCAAGGACAGTGCCCTGAGTTCAAATTCCACAACCAACAACAACAGCAACAAAAAATCTGATTACTTATATTCTAGTAATTTTTTTCAGTAAACATTTCATCAGCTAAGAACTTTACAACTTGGGGTAGGGGAGGAGTGAGGGAGGTGGGGGAGGGAAGGGATAGTAGGAGAACAACAAAGGAAGGGGTAACTGCTCCACAAGAAATGTTCTCATTACCGTACTCATGTAACTAACCCCTCTATACAGCATTTTTACAATAAAATAAATTAAAAGAAAAGAACTTTAAATTTACTTAGCTTGCCTCAGAATTCTACTTTAACATTTATGTGTAATTCGCCCTTTTTTTAAAGAATATAACGCATTTCATAAAGTAAAATTTACTATTATAACTGGAACTGTTCACACATTCTCATGTAAGTCTATGTAAAAGGTGTATCTTGTGCTGGTAATGTACACAGAAGGCCTGGTGAGATTAACTTGAGAGTAAACCTCAAGTGGGGAAGGGCTCCTGAATGACAGCTGCATCCAGCTTAACTGCTGTAACTATTGCTTTTAGTGGCAACAGCAGTTCCATAGTCTTTCTAGAGAAAATGGAGTGTGAACATCCTCAAACAAGAGGCTCACAGTCCTCGCTCAATGTCTTCTGGAGACTGGCTATAGATCTTGTGTGGACCCCCAAATCCGGAATGCTTGAGTCCCTCATGTGGAGTGGTGGAGCATTTGCAAAGAACACATATGTGCACCCAATGCACGTGCTCAGTTCAGACATGATCCTTTTCCAGAATACTCTCTGTCCAGATTGTTTAATTTTTGGATGTGGACAGCCAACTATGGGCCTTAATGTTTTATATCCTTTTTTTCTTTTAGTGCATGTTCAGGGCCTCACTCTCTTGCTTGAATTTTTTGCTCAAGGCTGGCGTTTTGCCACATGAGCCTTAGCTGTACTTCCAGCTTCTTGGAGATAATTGTCTTAATTGGAGATAAGAGTCTCATGGACTTTCCTGCCTGGGCTGGCTTCAAACCACGGTCCTTACATCTCAGCCTCTTGAGTAGTTTGGATTATAGGCATGTGCCCCTGACACCTGGCTTCACATCCCTGCTTTTTAGCCACTCTAATCCTAAGTTAAATGCAAAGTTAACTGACTTTGCCTTCGCCACTGAAATAATGCTATTGATCTCTGTCCTTCTCATAGGTACAATATTGAACCCAGTTTGTATTGCCCATTTTTCTCCCTGGGAGCGTGCATGGAGGGCCTTAACATTTTGTTTAACAAATTGTTGGGCATTTCCTTGTATGCAGAGCAGCCTATGAAAGGAGAAGTGTGGTGTGAAGATGTCCGTAAGCTGGTAAGTACCCTGATCTGATGTCACATTGCCATGTTCCTTTGGTCACTGGGCCCGTGGTGGTAGTTTCTTGAAGTTGGTATTGCCCTGGCCAAGTGTCCCACTTGATTAAAAATCATACTTCTGATGGGCATTGGTGGCTCATGCCTGTAATTCTGTCTGTTTAGGAGGCTAAGATCTGAGGATGGAGGTCCAAAGCCAGCCAAAGCAGTAAGGTCCATGAGGCTCTTATCTCCAGTTAACCACTAAAAAGCCAGAAATGGAGCTGTGGCTCAAGTGGTAGAATGCTAGCCTTGAGCAGAAATGTTCAGGGACAGCGCCCAAGGTCCTGAGTTCACATTCCAGGACACACATACACACACACACACACACACACACACACACGCACGCGCACACACACACGCACACACACACACAGATTCGCTTTCTCTCCCTCCCTTCTCCATCCCCCCTCCCCCTCTCTGTCTCTCCTGGTTTAGATCCCTGGGTATAGATACTAACTCTACCTGAGCAGAGTTGGTTCTCCATGGCAGATTTCTTCAGAACTTGGTAGAAGGTCATACCAGGGGTATTACTTCTAAAACCCATTGCTACTTTCCTTTTCTTTATGACCCCCTCTCTGGCTTACAGGGCTAATCTTGGCCTCAGATATTAATATATAGCCTATGTTCTGATTTATTTACTTTCTCTGATAATGACTTTAAGCCTGGAGCTTGTCCTCCTGCTTTGGCCCTCTGTATTTGGGGTGTGAATAATCTTAATTTGCCTCAGAAGATCTTGAGGTTTTCTTCCCTGAGGCTTTGTGGGGTGATGGTGTTCAGTTACTTCTTACATGTACAGTACCCTGTACTTCCTCTCTGTGTGGAGCAGTATGCCTACCTGCCTTTATCAGAGGCCAGTTGAGGAGAGATCAAAGCATAGGATGATGGAAGATGTCTCATCACTGTGGGTATCTGCTAACAGTCCACTATTTAAAATGGTTGGGTTAGTCAAATGCAGAAATGCAATGGAAAGAAAAACTAGGGACATGAGACTAAAAGGATAAAATCCAAGTGACAAAACTCTTTACCCTTCCCACAGTGTGAGGGTTCCTGGGCAGTGGGACTGGCCAGCTCTCCTCACTGCTGTCTCCAACATGCCTTGAATAAGTCCTACACCAAGTAGGTGCTTTGTACATGTTTGTCATATCAGTGAGTGAATGAATATCTACTTGCTGGAAATGTAAAAGCACAAAATTGAGGTTCTCAGCCAGGTGCTGGTGGCTCATGCCAGTAATCCTAGCTACCCGGGAAGCTGATATCTGAAGATTGTGTTTCAAAGCCAGCCCAGGCAGATAAATCTAAGAGACTCTTATCTCCAATTAACCAGGAAAGGTTGAAAATGGAAGTGTCATTCAAGTGATGGATCACCAGCCTTGAGCATAAAAGTTAAGGGAGAGCACCCAGGCCCTGAGTTCAAGCCCCAGTGCTGGTGCATTAAAAAAAATTGGGGTTCTCTGTATTTAAGTCACCAGGCTCAGGAAACGCAGGGCAGGAAGAAGACTCACAACTACATCTCTCATCTAAGCTGAGCCTCCTTTCCAAAGACAGAGTGGATCATATTACTGATTTCCACATTAGAAAGCTGCATTGTGATGTTTTTGAATCAGGGAATATAATTTGCAGGGGTATATATCATCTCCTACCATGTGAAGGAAAAAACAGTTTTGCTGTTGAACAGTCCAGCCAGTATTTCTTTCCAACTCTTGGGTTGTTTGAGTCTTGAAGAGCTGTCATTGCTGTGGGCACATTGTGGAGCTTGGGCAGTTAGGACACAGGGACCTTGGAGGCTTTCCTCTCCTGTGTACATAAATACCAGACAGAAGGTGGTACCTGAGAGAAGGGGTGAAAGAGGCTAGGGTGAAGAGAATCTATTTCACACTAATTGTCAGTGTGACACAGAAAGTCACTTAAGGACTGAATTTGTGTGAGTGTCTTACTTAGGTGTTATGTTGAGAATGTGTTCCCATTATGTTTCCAGTTGTTTTTTTTTTTTTTTTGGGCTGGTCCTAGGGCTTGAACTAAGAGCCTAGGTGTGTTCCTGAGTTTCTTTTGCTCAAGGCTAGTACCCTACTGCAGCACCACTTCCAGCTCTTTCTTAGAAGTTTATTGGAGATAAGAATCTCACAGAGTTTTCTGCCCAGGCTGGATTCAAACCCTGATCATCAGATCTCAGCCTCCTGAGTAGGTAGGATGATAGGTGCGAACCACCAACACCTGGCTGTGTTTCCAGTTTTTGATGATCTCATTCACCACTCAAATATGTTTTCCAGGCTGTCGTTCATGAATCTGAAGGATTGTTGGGGTACATTTACTGTGATTTTTTCCAGCGAGCAGACAAGCCACACCAGGTAATTTTTTTCTGTATGAACTGGTTTGTCTAAAGTAGTCAGCAGTTGATTTATGCTAATGTGAACTTTATGTATTATTTGTACAGTTCCATATTTTTAATAAATTTTTTATTGTGTAAATACTGTACAGAGGGGTTACAATTACATGAGCAAGGTAATGAGTACATTTCTTATCAAGCATTGTTACCTCCTCCTTTGTTTTTCCCTACCATCCCTTCCCTCCCATCTCCACAACTACACTCCCCCCCCACACCTAAATTATAAAGTTCATTTTTCAATATAGCATCTTGTACATCTCATTGTTGCAATGGGTCAACCTATATCCCTATTTAAACAATTTCTTTTTTCCCTTCCCCTCCCCAAATTATACCAACATCAAATACAGTGAAAACGGGTTATACCATGGGGGAGGGACATACAAAGCAACAACAACAAAAAAAAAATCACCTTATAAATATGTTAGAAACAATAGCAAGAAAGAAAAAACCACTTGTGTCCTTATATTGGGGTTCATTTCTCTTAACATCATCTTATCTGACCTTTTCTGCTTGTCTCAGACATCTAGTAGTTATTGCAAATAAGAGAAACCATGGGACCTGTGTTTCTTTGGGCAACGGACAAGGGTCTCATATCTAAAATGTATCTGGAACTCAAAATTAAATCCCCCAACAACAAATCCTCAAAGAAACAATTGCCCAATAAATAAGTGGGCTAAAAACTTAAAGAGAAACTTCTCTGAAGAGGAAATAAGAATGGGCAATATACACATGAAGAAATGTTCAACCTCTCTAGTCATAAAAGAAATGCAAATCAAAACAACATTGAGATACCATCTCACCCCAGTTAAAATGGCTATAATCAAGAATTAATAACAACAGATGCTGGAGAGGATGTGGCCAGAAGGGAACCCTACTGCATTGTTGGTGGGAGTGTAAACTTGTTCAACCACTTTGGGAAGCAATATGGAGGTTCCTCAAAAGATTCCACATAGAGCTCCCCTATGACCCAGCAGTAAATGCCCACTTTTGGGCATTTCCCCGAATGATCACAAATAAGACCATACTAAAGCTACAGCACAACTATGTTCATTGCAGCATTATTTACCATAGCTAATACATGGAACCAACCCAGATGCCCCTAAGTAGACAAATGGATCAAGAAAATGTGGTATATATACACAGTGGGATTCTATGCCTCCATCAGAAAGAATGACATTGCCCCATTTGTTAGGAAATGGAAAGACTTGGAAAAAATATTTTAAGTGAAGTAAGCAATCCCATATTATTTAAGTGGAACTAATGATAGTTACAAGTTTGAAAATAGTCTAGAATGCAAAAACATGGACAAAGTTACTCCTGTATCTATTACATTGTCTGGAACATGTTAATAGCAATCATAATGGTAGCTGTTTTACAAATCCTTATTTTCACCAGCCAGAGCATAGAGCCCTTTATAGATTTATAGTTTGTAATGTTCACCTCAGCCTTTTGCACTAGGCTTCAGTATTGAGTGACACTAAGGCCAGGAAACTTAGGGACTTGTCCAGAAGTACACAGGCAGACGTGCTGGGCTCTGAACCCAAATATTCTGTCTAGAGCCCCAGCTCTCAACCCCATTCATGCTCAACAATGAGCCTAGTTTAAAGTTACAGGGCTATCTGTAATCCCAACTATGTGGGAAACAGAGATAGAAGGATTGGTGTCTGAGGTGGTCTTGACAAAAGCATGAGACTCTATCTGAAAAACAAAAATGGACTGATGGGAGTGTATGGCTCAAGTAGTAAAGACCTGTCTAGTAAGTGCAGGGCTCTTGAGTTCTAGCTCTAGTACCACCAAAAGAAAAGACAAATGTGTCAATGAGGGACCAGAATGCAGGTCATTGGGCTCTAAGTCTCAAGGTCATTCTTCTGCCTGAGTTAGGGCAGAGCTACCTTCACATCCATACCAGCTGGGTGTCCTTGAACATGACACTTAACATTTGCAAGTCTAGTTTTAGTTTTCTTACCTGGAGAGTGAGATGCCTGCCTGCTCTGCTTGTTGTGAGTAGTTTCAGTAGAGTGCTTATGAAGCTCAGTTGTAGTGTCTGTTGCAGAGTTTTTGTAATTGAGGAAAACAAGTTATACAGCAGACACAGCAAAGCCTCTAGCTGATTGCCTGACCCTCAGGATGAATCTTGGAATCCCTTCCCCTGCAGCTTCTCTTGCCACTTTCTGTGGTTACTTTGCAGGCAACTTTATCTGGCATAGCAACATTTCAGGGCATGTTTTCTCAACTTAATGAGTGAATGAAATTCAAGCTCAATTTATTCTTGGTATTTTAGAAATGGAAGCTAACAAAATAAAAATTGCTGAGAGGGTGTCTATAACTATGTATGTAGTATAAAAATAGTACAGGTTTAAAACTTGACCTCACATTTCACTACAGTTTTATATTCATCAGGACTTTGTTACTCTCACTTTCTTTGCTTGGAGGTGGTACTAGCTTTTGAAGTTGTGTTGGCTAGGCAGGTACTATACTACTTGAGCCACGCTTCCAGGAAGATCTTGTTACTGTTTGGAGTATGTAATACTTTGATCTGTCTCTTTCCTGATTTTCAAAGGATTGCCATTTTACAATTCGAGGAGGCAGATTAAAGGAAGATGGAGACTATCAACTTCCAGTCGTGGTTCTCATGCTCAATCTTCCCCGCTCCTCAAGGAATTCACCCACTTTATTGACCCCAGGAATGATGGAAAATCTTTTCCATGAAATGGGACATGCCATGCATTCGATGTTGGGGCGCACTCGGTACCAGCATGTCACTGGTAAGCCAGGAGGAGGATCCTGACTTAATAGAATCCTTTAAAAAATAATATTACTGGGCACGGTGGCTCATGCCTGTAATCCTAGCAACTCAGGAGGCTGAAATCTGAAGATTGTGCTTTGAAGCCAGCATGGGCAGGAAACTCTGAGACTCATTCCCAAATAACTACCAAAAAGCCAGAAGTGGAGCAGTAGTAGCTCAAGTGGTACAGCACTAACCTTGAGTGAATAAGTTCAGGGCCAACACCCAGGTCTTGACTTGAAGCCCCAGGACCAGCACACACTCAAAAAAAAAATTAATATTATGTTTAAACTGGAAAAAGCTTGTAACTTGTAAAATTTGATCATTTAATAATGCGTTGTCATTTTTTACCTCAGATTGTCTTGGTAATGTTCTATTTCCTGATCCTCATGCTGTTTTCTATCCTTGCTAAGCATTTTGCCAAGGAATAAAAGTCTCTATGTCTGTCTTGGAGTTTATACTTAATATATTTGCTAGAGTTTAACATAGAGTTTATATTTGTGGCTTTCCGTGAGGATAAATGGACTTCCCCTTTGTCCCTAGCACATAGTGAATTAGTGCTGCTTTCTTCTAAACCATCTTCATTTAAAAAAACAAGCATGTTCAAAAAGTATAAAATACCTTTTTTTCCTTATGTTGCCTACTGTATAAAGTTATAAATCTGCTGAATTTTGTTTTTTTATATTGAAGGTTACCACAATCGATGATATTCTAGATTAATCTTAGCTGCCTTATCTCTAGGTCTTAAGCTCACTGCCATAAGTGGTCAGCATTTAACCATGTGGTAAGCAGTTGGCATTCGCGAGTTATGAACTCACTTTACATAGTATTTGAACAAGGAGAAGACATTGGAAAGACTACATGGGCCAAACACAGTCATAAAATGTTAGGAAGAGTTCTTACTGCATTTGTTGCTTTCAGGAATTTTGAATTTAAAAATCACTGAAGGTTTGTGTTACAAAGCAATAAATAGATAAAAAACAAAATATGTTTAAAACAAAAGAACGTGGAGGTGGGGTTTAAAGACTTAGGAACAAATGCATGTGAGTTCCAAGTGTTTTCGTTTGTATTTCAGGTATAGCCAGTGCAGCAAAGCCAGGCTTGTTTGCAGAGGGTGGAGGCCATTGCAAAGCTACCTTTACAATGTGTTTTAGCAGCTGAGCAAATAATTCTGTTTTTACTTTCAATATATTGGAAAACGTATAGGATTATAATAAACTTTTCTGCAAATATGTACAATAATTTTATAGATGTAAAATCTTGATTGAGAAGCTTGTTATAGTTCATCAGAAATCCAAATGGGAGTTTTAAGTAAGAAAATTTTTAAATAAGATAATTGTGTTTATTTAATATACACCGCTTTCTCTTTTCTCCCCATTTTAGGGACCAGATGCCCGACTGATTTTGCCGAGGTCCCATCCATTCTGATGGAGTACTTTTCAAATGATTACCGAGTAGTCAACCAGTTTGCCAGACATTATCAGACTGGACAGGTAGGAGCCTTGAACATGGGTTGAGCATCTCTAATCCAAAAATCCAAACCCTATGTGCTTCAGAAAGCTGGCATGATGTCACAAATGGAAGATTCCATACCTGACCTTGTGGTGCTTGGGGTCATTGTCAAAACACAAATACACTAAAAATACCATATAAAAAAATCACCTCCAATATTTTAGGTGTGTAAAATACGGTGTCTGTGAAATAGAGCTGAATTCCCTGGTTAGACTTTGGTTCGGAATCTTTATATATATGCAAATATCTCAAGATTTGCAAAAAAACATCCACAATCTGAATACTTCTGGGCCTAGGATTCTGGACAAAGGAAGTAGAGCTGTGGTTGGAAGTGATAGAGCATTAGTCTTGAGTAAAAGATCCCAAGAACAGCACCCTGACAAAAACTGACAAAGTATAATGGGTTGGGAATGTGGCTTAGAGCTTGCCTATTGTGCATGAGGCCCTCGATTCCTTAGTGCCACATAAACAAACAACAAATAATAAAATTTTGTTTAAAAAAGAAACATTATTTTTTAAAAGAAGCACTTGCCTACAGCCTACAAGTGCAAGACTCTGAGTTCAGTCTTCAGCTGTGCACAGAAAGATAAGTGCTACTCATTCATTGTTGTCTTGTCCTTTGAGTTGCAGTGATTGGCTTTTTTACTTGGGTGCTTTTTTTCATTTTTATTGTTTTCTCCTCATGATTCCCTTCCTCTTCTCCCTGAGCTATAGAATCATAATTCTGCATGGAGTCATCACAGAAAGTTAGCTTCCCCTTACATGTTGAGTAGTGTACCCACTGGTTGTCCTTGCCTGCCAGGAAAGCATTGTATCCTGCAGTTTTTCAGATGATGAAACAAGTTCTACATTAAGGCAGACATCCGTGCTCTTTATGAAATAGCTTTTCCTTCTGCACATTTCTTCTCTTGGTCTAGATTTTTATGTTGTGTTTTATTCTCCTAGTGTTCTTAACATTTTTTTCTTTTTGTTTGTGCCAATTCTGGGGCATAAACTCAGAATCTGAGCACTATCTCTGAGATTTTTTGCTCAAGGTTAGTGAGCCATAAGTCCACTTCTAGCATTTTTTTTTTTTTTTTTTTTTTGGTTGTGGGGCCTGAACTCTGGGCCTGGGTGCTGTCCCTCAGCTCTTCAGCTCAGGGCTAGCACTCTACTACAGCACCACTTCTGGCTTTTTCTGCGTATGTGGTGCTGAGGATTCAAACCCAGGGCTTCATGCTCGCAAGGCATGAACTCTACCACTCAGCCACCTTCCCAGCCCCACTTCTAGCTTTTTTGATGGTTAATTGGAATCTTACGGACTTTCCTGCCTGGGCTGGCTTTGAACCATGATCCTCAGATCTTAGCCTCCTGAGTAGTTACAGACCTGAGCCACTGGTGCCTGGCTTTTTGCATCTTTATTACCTATATGATGCTAAGTATGAAAAATCTCTTAATTTCAAGGTTTAGATTTATTTGATATACTGTAACTTTAAAGATTTTTAAAATTGATATTATGTTGTGTACATTCATGTGCACATTGAAAAGGAAGGTATTCTTCTCCTTCTCTGAGAATCTCTTCTTTGCTATATTGTATTAATGTTTGGTATTTGCCCTGCCCCTGGTATTCTTCTCTGTTATAGATAATTCATATTGGATCTCTAGACCTTAGACTCTTGCCATCAAAAAACAAACAAAAAAACAGCAACAAGAAAAGACCCCAATCGTCAAAAATTAAAAGAAATTAAATGAAGGAATGAATAGAATTGGGGGAGGGGGGGGACACAAAAAAAGCTGTAACAAATAAAGCTGCAACCAGCTTTATTTGTGACTTTTTCTGATCCTGTGTCCAGGTTCAAATATGATCTGGTTGAGGTGGTAGTAGAGGGGCATGCATACCTGCCAATACTGAAGGTTAAACTCAGTGTCTCATGTTTTTTTCACTCAAGACTGGCGCCTCTGTCACACATCTTCACTTCCAGGTTTTTGCTAGTCAATTGGAGATAAAAGTCTCTGAGATTTGTCTTCCTGGGCAGAGTTTGAGCCACAATCTTTGGATTTTAGTCTCACGAGTTGTTAGAACAGGCCTGAGCCACTGACACCTGACATGGTCATGTCCTTTTTGTAGACTTCATATTCTCTATTGTCATCTGTAGAATAATGGATGAGTTTCTGGGTACATAATTTGAATGAGTCATCTTTATAATCTTGTTTCAGTGAAGATGAAAAATCTTATTTCAGCCCAATTGAAATACCTATGATGTAATGAATTGCACATCCATCAACTTGAGAACTGTTCTGGGGATTATGTATATATGGTCAATAGTGAAGAGCTACATTTGGTGGGAACACCATATAAAAACCCAGCCATGGCTGCATGTTGTAGGGATAGCAGATGATTAGGAATTTTGTATTTGTTCCCTACAAAGGCCTGCTGGAGTAGAACCTGTGCAACATGCATGCACAGCAATTGGGAAGGCCCAGGTCAGCTGCCAGGGGCACTGGGAGAGTAGAGGTGTTGGAGGAGAGCAGTCTTGGAAAGGTATGGACATTTTGCCAGTCAGCTCCCAGCAGCCATTTCATTAAAGATCCTCCACTGAAAATATAATGAGATACTAAGGACATACGGTCTTCAGTCCAAAAGTGTCTGTGGAATTTTTGTCATATATCAATCCCCACATCTGACAGCCACAACTAAGTCAAACATCATCCCAGGACTCATGCCTTTAGTTCTTGGGGGAACTGAAGTAGAACCACAGGCAGAGCAAATGGTCAGAAGGAAAACCCCCTGAGAGGCCTGGAGAGGTGTTCCAAATGGCTTATGGGGCCTGGCTGCACAGTGGGTATGGCTGGGGATGCAGGGTTGGGGCTGGCAGTGAAGGGTGTGGATCCTCATGCAACTCCTCTTCAGTGTATCTTGTGCTGGGAGGGAGGGGGTCACTCTAGGTGTTTAAATGAGGGACTGACAATCATCACAGTTTTTGGGAAATGACTCTGATGTCCAAGCAGAACATGGATGGGAGGGGGATGGGCCTGGAATCTGAGGGAAGCTCTCAAGGCAGTTAGTTGCCCAGGCTTCCTGAAGAACAGGAGCAGGGTCCTACATTCTTGGACCACAACCACCACTTGGTTTTGAGAACTACCCAGGTCCCATCCCTGTCTCAGAGCCCCATGCTGTCTCCAGGAGCTGCTCCAGTCTGGAGCCTTCTTTCCACACTCCCGAGCTCGTAGGCAGCATGGCATGGTCACTGAACTGACTTTTTCAGGATCTAAGGCTTCGTTACCTCCAGTCCTTGTGTGTCTTCCTCCTGGCCCTGGCTCTGCCCTGTCCCCCAGTTTCCTTGGCTTCCAGGCTGGTTTTTAGATGGGTTCCCACAAGCCTCCCATACATCAGTCCAGCAACAAGGATGACACAGCCCTTTCTGTGAAGGTGGCTAGAGAGATAGAATACAACAGCTCTGTCATACTTACCTGGAAGGATTGGAGGTCACTTAAGTATCAGAGCAGGGGAATCAAAAATGCCACAGCAGAATGCTGATCTCACTTGAGTGTATCAGTGATGATCAATATTGCCCCATGCTTTTATTAGTAAACTGTCATAATGGAATAGATACTGCGGATAGGGGAAATACATGGCAAAGCCATGCTGGTGGAAGGCTACAGAGATTAGAAATGGCTTGGTGATGAAATTGAACTGGGATCTAAAAAGATCCCAGGCCTGAGTTCAGAAATCCCACATTAGTTTTGGCCACTAACCTCCATTTGCCAAATAGACCTGGTGAAGGGCAGAGAAGGAGATTTATTACATGGCAGCTATGGGAAGATAGCATTTTATTACATCTTCATCTGTCATCAGGGATATAGGCATTGGCTTCAGGTTATAGGGAGAATTGGGGGCAGCAGGTGAAAAGGGTATACATGGTTAAAACAGTCCCAGGTCACAACTGATCTGGTGGCCCATTAGCTCCAGAGACCTGATAGCTTGTGTATAGCTTTTGGCTGTTCTCTCCAAGACAATAAGAAGATAGCTTTACCTGATGAGTGGCAGTTTGTCTTTTTTTGTTTGTTTTTCATGTGACCTTTTTTTTTCTTTTCTATTTTATTGTGAAAATACCATACAGAGGGGTTACAATTACATGGGCAAGGTAACTGCAGTTTGACTTTTGTCACAAGATGCTTACCAATGTATCCTGTTCTTCCTGGAGGCCAAGGTGGTTGTAAGGTGACAGCAGCTGGAATTGGTTAGATCAAAGGGCACAGATAAAATGTGTGTGTGTGTGTGTGTGTGTGTGTGAGAGAGAGAGAGAGAGAGAGAGAGAGAGAGAGAGGGAGAGGGAGAGTGTGTATGTCGGAGAGAGAGGGAGAGAAAGGGAGAGAGGGAGAGAGAATGCCCATCTTTTAATTCACAGGCTCAGCAAAAGCAGCATTTAAGTTGCCTCTTACAATGAGAGAAGTTCAGGCCTCTAGAGAATCCAGCCTCAATAGCAAAGGAGTCATCTGGGAGTGAATGAACACAATGCAGAAGAGCACACACCTAACAATGACTGCAAATGGACCTCAAGTCTTTCAATTAATTGTTTTAAGTTAAATCTTGGACCAACCTCATCGTGTTGCTAATATCAACTTAAAACATTGACATCTCTTTTCAGAACAAGTGGAGAAATGGAGAAGGGAAGGCTAGAGTTTGTACTTGGGAGGATGAATTAATGTCCAAACATAGTAGATAGTGTCTCAATAGCCATGTGCTTATTTAATTCCTGAACTAGACAGTTGCAAGCAACAGTAATAAGCCCCAAGATAGATGAGGTAGGAAGAAAGCATTAAACTTCTTTGAGTTAATTCCACCTTCACAGTCAGAAGTCATGTCCAGTTTCCTGAAGAGACTTGCAGACACAGTCTCTAAGGAATTTAAAATAATTTCGTGCTTTCATGGGGAACTGAAAGTATGCCTGAAGGCAAGAGAAACATAAATGCTCTAAGCTTCATGGAGGGCTTGCCTCTT